AAGTGCCTTTAAACAGGGTATGGTAGTAGGTGCCAGGTGCACTGGCTTGTGTCAAGAACTGCAACGCTGCTGGGTTTTTTCCGCTCAACAGTTTCTCGTGTATATCAAGAATGGTCCACCACCCAAAGGACATCCAGCCAACTTGACACAAATGTGGGAAGCATTGGAGTCAACATGGGTGCAACTCAATATTAGGAAGGTGTTCCTAATGTTTGGTATACTCAGTGTATAATTGTATAACAAACCTAACCATTGCAATTACTGTCTCTCATTTCTCCCTGATGAACCGTGACATATTTACATGGTGGTTACTGCATCTAATTTGCAGTTATGTACAGTACATTCAACTGATCAAAGAGGCATAATCTATATAGCCCAGGAAGAACACCCATGAAACCAGGAGTTATTACTTTTGCTTTAACATGCAATGAGAAAAATCATTAACACATTTCCTGCTATGACCAAATTAACTTTAATCAGCTTTCAAACATCTAAACAGCACATTCTTATCTTAATTCTTGCAAAACAAGTGGCTATATGTATTAGAAATTAATATAATATCACAATAATCACTTGCGATCACTAGGATCTTTTGTTTAGTCAAGAATAGTCCAGAACCCCAGAATATGGCTGACTGAATCATATCCCTTTATGTGGCTGATCATACACAGTGGTAAACATGACCAATAAAATGTTCCTTTAACAGGGTATTAGCACTAGGCTACAGTAAGTAACCGTTTTTGCCAAGTTCAGAGCTCTTCACAGCCCAGGATAATATGGTGTTTACTTGGTGTATCTGTGTGACTCGCCAGGGAGGAATGCGTTTTCACAGCCATCCCTCCTACGTCCCAAATGGCGCCCTATTCCCTATTTAGCCCATAGTGTTCTGGTCAAAAGTAGTGCACTATAAAGGGAATGTGGTGTCATTTGGGATGCTGCTAGAGTGGCATTCAGGGCAGGTGTAATTAGAGTGGATCTGCATAAATGTAAAAATCCCTATATTGTTACTCTACAGGGTTTGTTTGTCTCTTGGCAATGGGGCAGGCAGCAGGCCTTTAAAGCCTCAGCTCTCTCCCCTCTGTGATGGCTGGAGTCTGGGAGAGGAGGAGAGCCGACTAATGAGCACCATTTGGGCCCGTCATTTACAACACATGCTGGTTAATAGCCCACGATGAGGGTTTTACTGCAACTCAGTCCGCTCATGCTGAAGTGGGGCTCTAATGGAAAGACTATACTTCCTTCTCACACACAGGCTGACCATTGCAGGGCCGGGATTGGGGAATTATATGGGTTAACTGCAGCTGGATTGCTCAGTAAAAGTGACTTCTAGAATTACTATTTACCTGGACATGGCCTTGTGTTAGGCTCACAGCCTGGTAAAGGGTGCAGTAAAATGTGCAATGTAATGGTGGTGGTAGGTAGATAATGTTAAGGTGGTCTTTTTCACACATTCACATGGTCGTATTGGCAAAAAACAGCTGTTTTGGTCTGCAGTTCACTAATCCATCATGAAAATTCCTCATGCCTACTAATGACTAGAACGAGGCCTTTATTTTCTCATCAAAGGCTAAAAATAACATGCCCCTAATCTCTCAAATTAGATTGTGTCTATTAGATTAGTGTTCTGTGACATCACTATTTGGTTACACACACAAATAGCCCAGCGATTTCACTTTTTAACAGGTTTATACAAATCGATTGGTTTGACTGCGCTGCTGGTCTATTGTAGCTGAGAAATCTCTGGATTGACTCAACCATTGGAGTAGCGGGGATATCTCTCCAACCAAGATGTATAAATTGAGGAGCAAACTGATGTGAGAATGAAATTCAGCAACTCTTGGAGGACAGTGGAAGTTCATAAAACTGCTTCTTTTTTGTTAACCATAAAACCAATGCTTACAGATAGACAAATGAAGGAGGCGTTTATATATTTCAAAATGGCTTCCTATGGGTTCAGGGACCAATCACAATGGGAATACACAACAAACATGATTTGATTGGATAATTAGTTAAAATAATCTGACCAATAGCACCTCTACAGATGGTATCTAACTTTGCCTTGCATTCTCTCAAGATGCAGAAATAAACAAATCATATTTCTCCACTCCTGTTCCCAAGTCCAAATTTTGCCTACATTTGGTGTATAATTTTACTGCAATAAATGTTTTATTCTGCAGGAGTTATTACTAAGGCTATAGCCCTATTCGCACGGGACTAGTATAAATTGAGAAAGTTGGTTATGTATTTATTACCACAGAATGTCCATTATTCCAGAGGCGCAATATTTGTTTAAATGCATTTGGCGATGTTCAATTCATTCGCACAAAACGTATAACCAAACTGCAAGCAACACCTGTCAAACTCAGATATTTCTCTCAATACACAGGGATGTCGATTCGCACAGGACTATCATTATCAGGGGACTTTGGAATTTGCCAAAAGACAGTAGGTTATTCTGGTTAGTCAATGTCCAGATTTCAGTTTCCATTTAACCCATCTAAACAGTAGGCTACAGTTCCCTTTACATGCCATAGGCCCATTTGAAGTCCCGTCTTGTGACTGTCGAATTTGTATAGAGCCTCACAATCATCACACAGAACATAACCGGCACTACTATAATCCTCTTTTACCACTTCACCAAATACTTTCCAAATATTACTTTTCTGGCCCTCCCTTCTCTTTATTTTCAACTCTCCTTTCGCAGCTTATTATCTGTCTTATTGAATTAAACAATGACCTTTTTGCCTCCGTGGTTTGACGTTAACTCCATGGATTGATGATAACTTTTGCTGCCCTTCCCAAAAGCATTATTTGGCGATTGGCTGTATAGGCTATTTGGCTGTGTAGGCTTATGCAGTAATACCCGATAGCCTAAAATAATGAAAGAAACCCAAGGATCCCAGAGCGCACGTACAGGTTGGAGAGTAGTTGAGAGTTGCTCCAGGGCAGGGCATAGTTCGTGATGCCCTGGACCAGAGGTAGTTGGAAAACGTAGAAAATTCACTCAAACTCTGTTTCATTTTTCCAATCATGCTCACTCTAAATGTAAGATTAATAAAGTTTGACAGCAAATTAGATATTTTTGGTTGATTATTCTCACACAGAAAGTAGAGAATTCAGTGCATATGAATTTGCCGGTCAGGAACCTTGTGAATTGGAGAAGTTGTATCCAGACACATTAGTAGCGGTACTCAGCTAACGGAAAGTAAACAGAGCTGGCAACATGGCTGAGGTAAGGAATTTTGTGATCAGTTGTTTTAATCACAATTATCATCGCTAGCAGTATATGACTATGCCCATTTTGTCAATCAATTGTGTACTTACAATTGATTGCGTGTTAATAATATGTATATCGATGGTCTGCCTTATATGATCTGTCTTTGCCGCTATCTAACGTTAGCTAACATCGACATGTAAATAGCTAGCTAACTAGTTAATTCACTAAAGATGGGGCGTTGTTTGTCTTTGATATGATTGGATTTTAAATGGTTTTGTATGAAATTGTATTATCTAACTCGTTTCTGGTGTTATTTTTCCTAATGAATGTGTGAGGCAGATTGCGAGATGAGCTGCTAGCTAACCATTTTGACAAATGCAAATGTTATCTAGCTGGATAGTCAGCTAGTTAATCAACACATTTATAACTGAATTATGCTTCTGTTGTTCTTGAAGTTGAGTTAGCTAATGACATTTACTAGTACCACTTTAAATTTGATGAAACAATAATACATTCCCTCATTCCTCTGTTGAAAAGGTTTGCCCTAATTATTCAATTATTAGCTACAATGCAATTGCAGTGATTCATTGCCCCACCTTGTAGATAATTGTAGGGTAGACAAGTCAGCATATGAGAGTAGAGATTTGATTGTGTTCGCATACTTTAGCTTATCAAAACTCTCAGGACGGGGTTAAGCATGTCTATGCGTACTTCACAATAACACCATAGTTAGCTAGCTTGTGTGTCATACCTTTACACACACACACACACACGGAATCATTTACATCATTTAGCAGACGCTCTTATCCAGAGCGACTTACAAATTGAAGCACTTCATGAAACTATATTAGCCTATTTCGCTTCTCAGGCATGTTAAAGCTAATAGATTTTTCCTTCAGAAAAAATAACCCTGAAATGGCTATAGCTAGCTACTCCTACTCTCCTACCAATTAAAACATAATTGCTTGGATAAATCATGATAACCTAGCTAGATAAACATGTCAGATTAGAGTTGATGTTATCTGTTCCTGCTGTCTGAGAAACAGCCAGAGACCAGTGTTAAAACAGCTTGTCAGAATGATGGATTATCACATAATAGCTGTAGGGCTTAAATCTTAAATGGAAGACAGACAAAGTTAGTTTAACTTTTGAGGACATTTTATCCATAACCAAACAAAGTTGTGATGAGCGTAATAGATCATCTAGGCTGTATCCTGTTCCTAAGACTTATGCTTCAGTAGTCTGAGACACTGACTTACTGTATGGTTTATGAAGGACACACACATTATATCCTGTTAGCACAGCACACTGTAGGCTAATAATGAATCAGAAGTTGTGTCCGAAATGGCACCCCATTCCCTATGTAGTGTAGCGCACAACTTTTACCAGGGCCCATATAGGGCTCTGGTCAAAAGTAGTGCACTATAAAGGGAATAGGGTGCCATTTGGAATGCATCCGGAAAGCAAGCCATCCCTCCTACTCCACTGAGGTTGATGGTCTCCCAGTCTGGTAGTGGCTTCCATTATAAAACAGGATAGGATTATGAATGATTAACGTTAGCCGGCCTAATTCATTGTCTTCACTTCATAGAGCAGTGTTCCATGTCATTTGTTTCCTTGTTCTTACTAGTGTTTAAGCATAGCCTAGTCTTATTCGTTATGCGTAGGCTACACATTTTGTTTTCAACAGTGCTCCATTTGTTAACATTCATTATTAATCAGTCCACACTGCATTGTAATCTTTGCAACAGGAAACTGCCATCTGTTTTTCATTCTGCCAAAAATGGCAGCCATGTTATTAAATGGCAGCCATGTTATTTTGTATACAGAATAGGGCTGTCAGTTAATCAAATAGATGAGGCTTGTTGATATGGTTGTTGTTCCTGCTACTTCATGCCAATAGATGTTAAATCTATTTGACTATTAGGCCTAAATCATTTGTTTATGGTTGAAATCCAAATTGCCTGTTGTGCACATCTAGGCTGTCAGCTTAAACATGTATTCATTATGTGTTAAATCCTCACTGAGCTCTTCAACTAAAGCCAGTTTGCCCCCTTCCTTCCTTCCTTCCTTCCTTCCTTCCTTCCTTCCTTCCTTCCTTCCTTCCTTCCTTCCTTCCTTCCTTCCTTCCTTCCTTCCTTCCTTCCTTCCTTCCTTCCTTCCTTCCTTCCTTCCAGACTCACAGCTTGCAGGATATGAGGCAGCAGGCGGCTATTGCTGCCAAAGTGTTCATCCAGAGAGACTACACCAGCGGCACTGTCTGCCATTTCCAGACCAAGTTCCCTTCTGAACTGGAGAACAGGGTACGCTATAGCACTCTGATAGCACTGTGATCTGAGTCCATCTGCATAGTGTGTCAGAGTAGGAGTGCTGATTGAGCATCAGGTATGCCTTTTAGATCACAATAAATAAGATTGCATGGACAGGGTCCGTATCCAAGCCTCTCAGAGTAGAACATTGGTCGTAAGTGCTCAGAAGGTTATGCATGAAGCCTCTTTAGTCATAAGTCCCACCGAGTTGGCAGATATTTAGGAGACCTCATGAGGTGTCTTAACCAGTTAAGAGTTACCAGCAGGTGTCTTGATAATAGAAACATTCAGTCAGTGAGTCAGTGGTTCCTGCGCCACATGCAATTGCTTTGGAGTTGTTCAAATAATATGTTGATATTTCTATATGATCAATCCATAAATAATCTAGGGTTACATGCAACATAATCTCTTGCGCTTTTGACAATTATTTCATATGAGGCCTATTTCACATGATAGCCTAAATACTTATAGCCACTAGGCTAATAAATAAACATGTTTTTCAAATATTTAATGACTTACATCATGTTATCATTTTGGAGTGCAACATCACATTGTTAAAAAAAAGATGCCTAAATTAGGCATGCCTCTAAATTGGGCAATTGAAGGCTTCTTGGGGGCTTACAGTGCATTCGGAAAGTATTCAGACCCCTTCACATTTTGTTACGTTACAACCTTATTCAAAAATGTATTAAATTGTTTTTTTCCCTCATCAATCTACACACAATACCCCATAATGACAAAGCAAAAACAGGTTTTTAGAAATTTTAGCAAATGTATTACAAATAAAAAACGTAAATATCACATTTACATAAGTATTCAGACCCTTTACTCAGTACTTTGTTGAAGCACCTTTGGCAGCGATTAAAGCCTCAAGTCTTCTTGGGTATGACGCACCTGTATTTGAGGAGTTTCTCCCATTCTTCTCTGCAGATCCTCTCAAGCTCTGTCAGGTTGGATGGGGAGCGTCGCTGCACAACTATTTTCAGGTCTCTCCAGAGATGTTAGATCGGGTTCAAGTCCAGGTTCTGGCTGGTCCACTCAAGGACATTCAGAGACTTGTCCCGAAGCCACTCCTGCGTTGTCTTGGCTGTATGCTTAGGGTCATTGTCCTGTTGGAAGGTGAACCTTCGCCCCAGTCTGAGGTCCTGAGCGCTCTAGAGCAGGTTTTCATCAAGGATCTCTCTGTACTTTGCTCCGTTCATCTTTCCCTCGATCCTGACTAGTCACCCAGTCTCTGCCGCAGAAAAACATCCCCACAGCAGGATGCTGCCACCACCATGCTTCACCGTAGGGATGGTGACAGGTTTGCTCCAGACTTGACGCTTGGCATTCAGGCCAAAGAGTTTCAATCTTGGTTTCATCAGACCAGAGAATCTTGTTTCTCATGGTCTGAGAGTCCTTTAGGTGTCTTTTGGCAAACTCCAAGCGGGCTGTCATGTGCCTTTTTACTGAGGAGTGGCTTCCGTCTGACCACTCTACCATAATGGTCTGATTGGTGGCGTGCTGCAGAGATGATTTTCCTTCTGGAAGGTTCTCCCATCTCCACAGAGGAACTCTGGAGCTCTGTCAGAGTGACCATCGGGTTCTTGGTCACCTCCCTGACCAAGGCCCTTCTCCCCTGATTGCTCAGTTTGGCCTGGCGGCCAGCTCTAGGAAGTGTCTTGGTGGTTCCAAACTTCTTCCATTTAAGAATGATGGAGGCCACAGTGTTCTTGGAGACCTTCAATGCTGCCGACAAATGTTTTGGTACCCTTCCCCAGATCTGTGCCTCGACACAACCCTGTCTCTGAGCTCTACGGACAATTCCTTCAACCTCATGGCTTGGTTTTTGCTCTGACATGCACTGTCAACTGTGGGACCTTATTTAGACAGGTGTGTGCCTTTCCAAATCATGTTTTATTTACCACAGGTTGAGTCCAATGAAGTTGTAGAAACATATCAAGGATGATCAATGGAAACAGGATGCACCTTGAGCTCAATTTCGAGTCTCATATCAAAGGGTCTGAATACTTATGTAAATAAGTATTTCTGTTTTTTAAATTTTTAATACATTTGCTACCATCTCTAAAAACCTGTTTTCGCTTTGTCATTATGGGGTATTGTGTGTAGATTGATGAGGAAAAAATTAATTCAATCAATTTTAGAATAAGGCTGTAACGTAACAAAATGTGGAAAAAGTAAAGGTGTCTGAATACTTTCCGAATGCACTGTATGTTAACTTTGATTGTGTTCAATGAAAATGATAGACCTTCCAAACGTTGTATGCAAAATCATTGGCAAGTGACTTGATGTACTGTGCTAAAGCTATTTATAGTTGTTAAAGGGGAGTGTGTTGATAATGGTAATATTGTAAAAATTTAGCTTTTAACAACGCTCAGAGTTGGTTTAAAAAAAGGTTCTGCATGCCAATATATTAGGGCATCATTAAGAGTAGGCAAAGTGATCGTGTCAGGCGAAAAATTTGGTCAAACATTTTACAATTGCAACATTTGATGTACAGTCACATACACAGTGGTTGTCTGAAGCGTGCTATAAAGTTCACAGCTGGTGATGCCTCATCGCAATTGGTTGTTCCCCATTTACAACAATGTCAATGAGCGTCATCACTATCTTTCCTTTGCGGTACCTCAAACTGTCGTGATTACCAGCTGAGAAACTTTTGTGAGTTGATTTTACTCCTGGCTCAGTGTGTTTGAGCAGTGTGTTAACATAATCCTTAAACCTACTCTGTGCTGGGAGGTTTTTTAGTCTTAAAACAGGTTTTAACAGGATTCCGAGGACTTCTTTCTGAGATGCTTTTGTGGATACGGGCCCTGATCCTAGACCAGCACTCCTACTCTGAGACGATTGATACATACGGCCCCTGATCTGCTAAGGCTCCTGGTGCTCAGACCTATTTGATCTATAAATCAGACCGAATTTTTAGACATGTTTATGTCCCGTGTCCAGCCCCTCCAGATATATCTCTGATCTCCTGCTTTTAGTTAGAGCCCTGTGGGGTTTTGTAGGCTAGGCGCAGAACACGTCAAGAAGTGCAGCTTATGACTCCAATGCAGTCTTCACTGATCTGGTCTATGTCCTCAGTTGAACTGTCACACTTGAGTGCAGAAACTGGTTTGAAATACAGGATTTGGTAATGATCCAGCGAATGGAGTGAAGCAGGTCCATGAGGATAAACACTTCTGCGCTATGCCCACATTAAAGATTGTGCAGCTAGCTAAATGGTTAGAGCAGAGTTCACAGGAACAAAAACTATTTTTTGCCATGCATGTGCCACATGAAAAGAGTAGCTTTACAACACAGCTTTGTGGTTTAATGGCACTTCCCTCTTGATTGGGTGGTCTCTCTTTAGCACACTTTGTGTCCTGTAGGATGCACTATACATACCAATGCTGAAGAAATACAGCATGCTACTCCTCCGGGAGTCCATCCACAGCTACAGTGCCTCATCAGAAAAAACCTTTCCAACATTTCTCCCATCCCTTTGCTAGCACAGTAGTATATCATAGGAATTGTGCTGCCAAACTTTTTAAGTGAGTTTGTTATTTTTTTATACAGTCATATTTATTTCACCAGATTGTTTTTTTTTTCTCCAGATGTCCAAGTGACAAAATACCAAATGTATCAATTCATAAAACACTTTATTTTATTCAACTTTGGATCCATGTTGCTCTTTTATCTGAAATAGATCATGGGGCAGCACGTTCTGTTGATGATTTCACCTCTGTTGAATAATGTTTTCTAAGGTTTAGTACAAGAACATGTCTGGAGAAGCACTAAGCGGTCAGTGTATTTGGCAGGTAGCGAGCCAGACCAGCCAGGGACAATAAAATAAATTGGTAATGCTGTTACCCTTTCCTTTTTATTTTCCTTATTCACATATCTACAGTAGATCGCTTGACACAAAGTAAGCTAAATAAGTTGTTTAAGATGGTAGTTTCTGAGGATAGATACCATCGTAGCACACACTTATCCTAAAGCCGGTGTGCAGTACACTTCTTAATGTTCAAATTACTGCATCCAACGTAATGGAAAGATGTTCAGACGAAGGAGAAATGTGGTTTGAATCCCAGCCTTATGGGAAATTAGAGGGAGAACAAAGACTCCTCACGGCAGGCACCAAACATGCCTAAGACAACTGATCTGTTGGCGCTTGTTGTTACATTCCATGGGCAGTGGGTGCATGGGAACATAACTTGGAGGCTGTTCAGAGGCCTGAAAGGCCTGGCTGCTCTCCTCATCTGGTCTGGTTTGCAGGACACCAAGTCCACTCTCTTAGTTGTGTGACAAATAGCACCCTATTCCTTATAGTGCACTACTTTTGACCAGAGCCCTATGGCCCCTGGGCAAATTGAATGCACTATAGGGCTGGAATATTTGGACAAAATATCTAATAGCAAAAAAAATAGAAAAAAAGGCAGATATTGTGATTTATGAGTTGCGATTTTCCAAACACTTGGGTGAAAACTTGGTAATTCCATCAAACATGGTTAATACAAGTGTCAGAGTAGAGAACATCACTTATAAAATGAGGTCAAATGAATTAATACATACTGAGCTAACTGAATACAAAACCAAATGAAACAAATATTTTCCACAATTGTTATACATATGATAATAGGATTATTACACCTACTTAATAACAAACATTCATTTTTAACATGATCATCTAAATCTAGTGTACTATAAGCGTAGCATTAATTAATAAATTAATAACATTCCTATTTTACCATTGAGTTCTTATACTAACTGTAAGTCGCTCTGGATAAGAGCGTCTGCTAAATGACTAAAATGTAATAACCTAAGTTAATTATTTATTCAGGCAGCTATAGGCTACAAATGCAATAGGAAGCTTATGAATCTGCAATTTATGTATAAGTAGGCTCAATCATTATTATAATATAAATTAAAAGTCAAAGTGCCTTAACATGTAACACAGCCTACCAATTGCAAGGTGCAGCCTGTGTCTGAAACATTGGAGTCTGGTCCAGTCATTCAATGCAATGGCCTTTATCAACTTCTCCCTTAAATGCATACTTCGGAATTCCCCAGAATCAGATGAACTTGTGGATACAATTTTTATGTCTCTGGGTCCAGTGTTGGGATGGCGACTTGGGAGAAATGTGTGTATCTCCTGTCCAGCTTGTTTATTGTCTTCTTGAAGCCATCTTTGCTGACTGAATGTGATAGATAGGTGATAGCCTCTGTGATTTCTGCGTCTGCGGGATGTTTTTTCGTAGGGCATTACACTCGAAAACGCATCAGCAATCAATGCCTGCTTAACGTAGGTGGGGAATGGTTCTTCTTCAAATGATTGAATAAATGTTTTGTGTTGCCTCTTATCGCCACAACTCTGAGGCACTTTTTGCACAACACTTGCATTTGGTTGACATCGGTTTGCCTGTAGCCGAAATACTGCCATACCACTGAAGATGTGCCGTTCTTTGGCACCAAATCAACGTTCTCGTTAGCACTAGCAGCACTCGTTTCCGACACACTTTGAGGTGAAGCCCTTTCTCTCCGGTTAGTGCTATCCGGCATCCTTGCTATACGGGATCCTTGGGACGTCCCTACCCTAAAACCTAATTCCGTTTTTATCTGAGTATTATTATTATTATTTTATTTGTATTTTTTTCTCCATATAAATAAATAAAAATTCGAAGACAATTTTCACATGCTTCGTAAACAATAGGTGTACACTAACAGTGAAATGCTTACTTACAACAATGCAAAGACAAAAATACAGAAATAATTGAAAAAGAATAACACAAGGAATAAATAAATACACAATGAGTAACAATAACTTGGGGTAAGTACCGAGTCGATGTGCAGGGGTACGAGGTGGATGTGTACATATAGGTAGGGATAAAGTGACTAGGCAGCAGGATAGATAATAAACAGTAACAACATTTAGTGTAAAAAGGTCAATGCAGATAGTAGCTATTTGGTTAACTATTTAACTAAATATTTAGCAGTCTTATGGCTTGGGGCTAGAAGCTGTTCAGGGTCATGTTGGTTCCAGACTTGGTGCATCGGTACCGCTTGCCATGCGGTAGCAGAGAGAACAGTCTATGACTTGTGTGGCTGGAGTCTTTGACCATTTTTAGGGCTTTCCTCTGAAACCGCCTGGTATAGTGTTCCTGGATGGCAGGGAGCTCGGCCCCAGTGATGTAATGGGCCATCCGCACTACCCTCTGTAGTGCCTTGCGGTCGGATGCCAAGCAGTGATGCAGCCAGTCAAGATGCTCTCAATGGTGCAGCTTTATAACTTTTTGAGGATCTGAGGGCCAATTACAAATCTTTTCAGCCTCCTGAGGGGGAAGAGGGGTTGTTGTGCCTTCTACCCGACTGTGTTGGTGTGTGTAGACCATGATAATTCCTTAGTGATGTGGACACCGAGGAAGTTGAAGCTCATGACCCGCTCCACTACAGCCCTGTCATTGTGGATGAGGGCGTGCGTGTCCCTCCGTTTCCTGTAGTCCACGATCAGCTCCTTTGTCTTGCTGAAATTAGGGCGGCAGGTAGCTTAGTGGGTAAGAGCATTGTGCCAGTAACCGAAAGGTTGCTGGTTCTAATCCCCGAGCCGACTAGGTGAAAAATCTGCCTGTGCCCTTAAGCAAGGCACTTAACCCTAATTGCTCCTGTAAGTCACTCTGGATAAGAGCATCTGCTAAATGACTAAAATGTAAATTGAGGGAGAGGTTGTTGTCCTGGCACCACACTGCCAGGTCACTGATCTCCTCCCTATAGGCTGTCTCATCGTTGTCTGTGATCAGGTCAACCACCTTTGTGTCATCAGCAAACTTAATGAGGGTGTTGGAGTTGTCCGTGGCCATGCAGTCGTGGGTGAACAGGGAGTACAGGAGGGAACTAAGCACGCACTACTGAGGGGGCCCGGTGTTGAGGATTAGCGTGGTGGATGTGTTGTTGCCTACCCTTACCACCTGGGGGTGGCCCGTCAGGAAGTCCAGGATCCAGTTGCAGAGGGAGGTATTCAGTCCCAGGTTCCTGAGCTTAGTGATGAGGTTGGAGGGCACTATGGTGTTGAACACTGAGCTATAGTCAATGAACAGCATTCTCACATAGGTGTTCCTCTTGTCCAGGTGGGAGAGGGCAGTGTGGAGTGCAATAGAGATTGCGTCATCTGTGGATCTGTTGGGGCAGTATTCGAATTGGAGTGGGTCTGGGATGATGGTGTTGATGTGAGCCATGACCAGCCTTTCAAAGCATTTCATGGCTACAGATGGCGTTCTTGAGCACAGAGACTATGGTGGTCTGCCGTCTTGTGAATGTTAACCTGTTTAAAGGTCTTACTCACATTGGCTACGAAGAGCGAGATCACACAGTCGTCCGGAACAGCTGGTGCTCTCATGCATGGTTCAGTGTTGCTTTCCTCGAAGCGAGCATAGAAGGCATTTAGCTCGTCTGGTAGGCTCGCGTCACTGGGAAGCGCGTGGCTGGGTTTCCCTTTGTAATCCGTGAAAGTTTGCAAGCCCTGCCACATCCGATGAGCGTCGGATCAAATCAAATCAAATTTTATTTGCCACATGCGCCGAATACAAAAGGTGTAGACATTAGCGTGAAATGCTTACTTACAGCCCTTAACCAACAATTCATTTATAAAAAACAAAACAAAAAAAAGTGTTGAGAAGAATAGAGCAGAAGTAAAATAAAATAACAGTAGGGAGGCTATATACAGGGGGGTACCGGTGCAGAGTCAATGTGCTGGGGCACCGGCTAGTTGAGGTAGTTGATGTAATACAGTGGGGAAAAAAGTATTTAGTCAGCCACCAATTGTGCAAGTTCTCCCACTTAAAAAGATGAGAGAGGCCTGTCATTTTCATCATAGGTACACGTCAACTATGACAGACAAAATGAGAATTTTTTTTCTCCAGAAAATCACATTGTAGGATTTTTTATGAATTTATTTGCAAATTATGGTGGAAAATAAGTATTTGGTCAATAACAAAAGTTTCTCAATACTTTGTTATATACCCTTTGTTGGCAATGACACAGGTCAAACGTTTTCTATAAGTCTTCACAAGGTTTTCACACACTGTTGCTGGTATTTTGGGCCATTCCTCCATGCAGATCTCCTCTAGAGCAGTGATGTTTTGGGGCTGTCGCTGGGCAACACGGACTTTCAACTCCCTCCAAAGATTTTCTATGGGGTTGAGATCTGGAGACTGGCTAGGCCACTCCAGGACCTTGAAATGCTTCTTACGAAGCCACTCCTTCGTTGCCCGGGCGGTGTGTTTGGGATCATTGTCATGCTGAAAGACCCACCCACGTTTCATCTTCAATGCCCTTGCTGATGGAAGGAGGTTTTCACTCAAAATCTCACGATACATGGCCCCATTCATTCTTTCCTTTACACAGATCAGTCGTCCTGGTCCCTTTGCAGAAAAACAGCCCCAAAGCATGATGTTTCCACCCCCATGCTTCACAGTAGGTATGGTGTTCTTTGGATGCAACTCAGCATTCTTTGTCCTCCAAACACGACGAGTTGAGTTTTTACCAAAAAGTTATATTTTGGTTTCATCTGACCATATGACATTCTCCCAATCCTCTTCTGGATCATCCAAATGCACTCTAGCAAACTTCAGACGGGCCTGGACATGTACTGGCTTAAGCAGGGGTCACGTCTGGCACTGCAGGATTTGAGTCCCTGGCGGCGTAGTGTGTTACTGATGGTAGGCTTTGTTACTTTGGTCCCAGCTCTCTGCAGGTCATTCACTAGGTCCCCCCGTGTGGTTCTGGGATTTTTGCTCACCGTTCTTGTGATCATTTTGACCCCACGGGGTGAGATCTTGCGTGGAGCCCCAGATCGAGGGAGATTATCAGTGGTCTTGTATGTCTACCATTTCCTAATAATTGCTCCCACAGTTGATTTCTTCAAACCAAGCTGCTTACCTATTGCAGATTCAGTCTTCCCAGCCTGGTGCAGGTCTACAATTTTGTTTCTGGTGTCCTTTGATAGCTCTTTGGTCTTGGCCATAGTGGAGTTTGGAGTGTGACTGTTTGAGGTTGTGGACAGGTGTCTTTTATACTGATAACAAGTTCAAACAGGTGCCATTAATACAGGTAACGAGTGGAGGACAGAGGAGCCTCTTAAAGAAGAAGTTACAGGTCTGTGAGAGCCAGAAATCTTGCTTGTTTGTATGTGACCAAATACTTATTTTCCACCATAATTTGCAAATAAATTCATAAAAAATCCTACATTGTGATTTTCTGGATTTTTTTTCTCAATTTGTCTGTCATAGTTGACGTGTACCTGTGATGAAAATTACAGGCCTCTCTCATCTTTTTAAGTGGGAGAACATGCACAATTGGTGGCTGACTAAATACTTTTTTTCCCCACTGTATGTACATGTGGGTAGAGTTAAAGTGACTATGCATAAATAATTAACAGAGTAGCAGCAGCGTAAAAAGATGGGGTGGGGGGGCAGTGCAAATAGTCCGGGTAGCCATGATTAGCTATTCAGGAGTCTTATGGCTTGTGGGTAGAAGCTGTTGAGAAGCCTTTTGGACCTAGACTTGGCGCTCCGGTACCGCTTGCCGTGCGGTAGCAGAGAGAACAGTCTATGACTAGGGTCCTGTTTTGACTTTTTGATGGCTCGTTGGAGGTCGTAGCGGGATTTCTTATAAGCGTCCGGATTAGTGTCCCGCTACCTTGAAAGCAGCAGCTCATGGCTTCTGGTTGGGATATGTATTTACTGTCACTGTGGGGACGATGCGATGCACTTATTAATGAAGCTGACTGATGTGTTAAACTCCTCAATGTTATCAGATGAATCCCTGAACATATTCCAGCAAAACAGTGCTGTAGCTTAGCATTCGCTTCATTAGATCACTTCTGTGTTGAGCGTGTCACTGGTACTTCCTGTTTGAGTTTTTGCTTGTAAGCAGGAATCGGGAGGATAGAGTTATGGTCAGATTTGCCAAATGGAGGACGAGGGAGAGTTTTGTATGTGTTTTTGTGTGTGGAATAATGGTGATTTAGAGTTTTGTCGCCTCCTAAGATGGATTTCAGTTTCCGTGCTTTAAAATCACTGGCCACTAGGAGCGCCGCCTCTAGATGTGTATTTTCTTGTTTGCCCTATACTGCTTGTTGACTGCGGTCTTAGTGCCAGCATCAGTTTGTGGTGGTAAATAGACAGATATGAAACATTTAGATAACTCTCTTGATAAATAGTATGGTCTGCAGCTTATCATGAGGTATTCCAAAACCTCAAGACTTCCTTAACATTAGAGATTTTGCACCAGCTGTTAACAAAGAGACACAAACCTCCCCCCTTAACCTTACCCGAAGCTACCGTTCGGTCTTAACGATACATAGGTAAACCTGCTAGATGTATATTATCCATGTCCATGTTCTGCCACGACTCAGAGAAACATAGGATATTACAATTCCTCATGTCCCGTTGATAGGATAGTCTCGAGCGAAGCTCGTCCAGTTTGTTCTCCAGTGATTGTACATTTGCCAATAGAACGAAGGGTAGAGGCGGTTTATTTACTCACCTAGTGTGTAGTGTCATCAGGGAGCCCGCTCGTTTGCCTGTCTTTAGCCGTCTCTTTTTCTTTGACTTCCGTGGATTAGGGTCTGTTCCCGGAAGGAGCAGTACGTCCAGAGCTTCCGACTTGTTGAAATCCAAATCTTAATTCAAATCAAGGTTCGTGATCGCTGTTCTGATGTCCAGAAGCTGTTTTCGGTCGTAGGAAATGAGGTAGGAAATATAATGTAAAAACAATGCCATCCACTGTAGCGCCATCTTCATCTCAATACAAAAATGTAATGTTAGACGTTAATGATGTAGCTGTACATTTTCGGTGAAAACCACTACAAGAAATGTGCTTTAGCTGTCACGCTGGCCTGATGTTGGCTACACTATCTAGCTACTTCCCTTTCCTTACTGCGGCAAGCAGGAGCGAAGGACCCTGGCCAGTGTTGTTGTTGTTGGCTTGCAGCGCAAACTCACCCCATTGAGCAGTGTAGACTGTATCATGGTGACAACAGATGGTTACTACCAATATTACAAGTTATTTTTTGTGAAGGCTGCTATCCTACTAAAAATAGAATCAAGTGGGATGGAACATTTTGGAGATAGTGACCAAATCCAGATGGTGACCAATACTACAAGTTATTTCTCCCTCATCGAAAAATAAACATCACTTTCTTGTGCAAGTTTTAACAACATAAACTAGCTGGGAAGGGAAGCAAGGGCTTATCAGGACGACTGACTGAACCGAATCCATTCGTTTCCACACTCGACTCTCAGCTGCGCGACATACATCATCCATTTGGATCATGATAAGCTGCAGACCAGATCGTCAAGGACATCAACCACCCAAGCCACTGCCTGTTCACCCCGCTATCATCCAGAAGGCGAGGTCAGTACAGGTGCATCAAAGCTGGGACCGAGAGAATGAAAAACAGCTTCTATCTCAAAGCCATCAGACTGTTAAATAGCCATCACTAGCACATTAGAGGCTGCTGCTGCCTATTGAAATCACTGGCCACTTTTTTATTTTTTTTTATTTTTTTATTTATTTCACCTTTATTTAACCAGGTAAACCAGTTGAGAACAAGTTCTCATTTACAACTGCGACCTGGCCAAGATAAAGCAAAGCAGTGCGATAAAAACAACAACACAGACTTACATATGGGGTAAAACAAAACAAAGTCAAAAATACAACAGAAATACATATAATATACAGTGTGCAAATTTAGCAAGTTATGGAGGTAAGGCAATAAAATAGGCTATAGTGCAAAATAATTACAATTGAGTATTAACACTGGAATGATGTGCAAGAGATGATGTGCAAATAGAGATACTGGGGTACAAATGAGCAAAATAAATAACAATATAGGGATGAAGTAGTTGGGCGGGCTAATTTCAGATGGGCTGTGTACAGGTGCAGTGATCGGTAAGGTGCTCTGACAACTGATGCTTAAAGTTAGTGAGGGAGATAAGTGTCTCCAGCTTCAGAGATTTTTGCAATTTGTTCCAGTCATTGGCAGCAGAGAACTGGAAGGAATTGCGGCCAAAGGAGGTGTTGGCTTTGGGGATGACCAGTGAGATATACCCGCTGGAGCGCAGACTACGAGTGGGTGTTGCTATGGTGACCAATGAGCTAAGATAAGGCGGGGATTTGCCTAGCAGTGATTTATAGATGGCCTGGAGCCAGTGGGTTTGGCGACGAATATGTAGTGAGGACCAGCCAACAAGAGCGTACAGGTCACAGTGGTGGGTATTATATGGGGCTTTGGAGACAAAACGGATGGCACTGTGATAGACAACATCCAATTTGCTGAGTAGAGTGTTGGAGGCTATTTTGTAAATGACATCGCCGAAGTCAAGGATCGGTAGGATAGTCAGTTTTACGAGGGCATGTTTGGCAGCATGAGTGAAGGAGGCTTTGTTGCGAAATAGGAAACCGATTCTAGATTTAACTTTGGATTGGAGATTCTTAATGTGAGTCTGGAAGGAGAGTTTACAGTCTAACCAGACACCTAGATATTTGTAGTTGTCCACATACTCTAGGTCAGACCCGTCTAGAGTAGTGATTCTAGTCGGGTGGGCGGGTGCAAGCAGCGTTCGGTTGAAGAGCATGCATTTAGTTTTACTAGTGTTTAAGAGCAGTTGGAGGCTACTGAAGGAGTGTTGTATGGAATTGAAGCTCGTTTGGAGGTTTGTTAACACAGTGTCCAATGAAGGGCCAGATGTATACAAAATGGTGTCGTCTGCGTAGAGGTGGATCTGAGAGTCACCAGCAGCAAGAGCGACGTCATTGATATACACAGAGAAAAGAGTTGGCCCAAGAATTGAACCCTGTGGCACCCCCATAGAGACTGCCATAGGTCCAGACAACAGGCCCTCCGATTTGACACATTGAACTCTATCTGAGAAGTAGTTGGTGAACCAGGCGAGGCAGTCATTTGAGAAACCAAGGCTATTTAGTCTGCCAATAAGAATGCGGTGGTTGACAGAGTCGAAAGCCTTGGCCAGGTCAATGAAAACGGCTGCACAGTACTGTCTATTATCGATCGCGGTTATAATATCGTTTAGGACCTTGAGCGTGGCTGAAGTGCACCCATGACCAGCTCGGAAACCGGATTGCATAGCGGAGAAGGTACGGTGGGATTCGAAATGGTCGGTGATCTGTTTGTTGACTTGGCTTTCAAAAACTTTTGAAAGGCAGGGCAGGATGGATATGGGTCTGTAACAGTTTGGATCTAGAGTGTCACCCCCTTTGAAGAGGGGGATGACCGCGGCAGCTTTCCAATCTCTGGGGATCTCAGACGTTACGAAAGAGAGGTTGAACAGGCTAGTAATAGGGGTTGCGACAATTTCGGCGGCTAGTTTTAGAAAGAAAGGGTCCAGATTGTCTAGCCCAGATGATTTGTAGGGGTCCAGATTTTGCAGCTCTTTTAGAACATCAGCTGTCTGGATTTGTGTGAAGGAGAAGCGGGGGGGGGCATGGGCAAGTTGCAGCGGAGGGTGCAGAGCTGGTGGCCGGGGTAGTGGTAGCCAGGTGGAAAGCATGGCCAGCCGTAGCAAAATGCTTGTTGAAATTCTCGATTATTGTAGATTTATCGGTGGTGATAGTGTTTCCTAGCCTCAGTGCAGTGGGCAGCTGGGAGGAAGTGCTCTTATTTTCCATGGACTTTACAGTGTCCCAAAACTTTTTGGAGTTAGTGCTACAGGATGCAAATTTCTGTTTGAAAAAGTTAGCCTTTGCTTTCCTAACTGCTTGTGTATATTGGTTCCTAACTTCCCTGAAAAGTTGCATATCGCGGGGGCTATTTGATGCTAATGCAGTACGCCACAGGATGTTTTTGTGCTGGTCAAGGGCAGTCAAGTCTTTAAGAAATGGAACACTAGTCACTTTAATAATGTTTACATATCTTGCACTACTCATCTCATATGTATGTTCTGCATTATATTCTATAATATTCTACTGTATCTTAGTCCATGCCGCTCTGTCATTGCTTGTCCATGTATATATTCTTAAATCCCATTCCTTACTAGTTTTGTGTGTATTGGGTAGATGTTGTGAAATTGTTAGATATTACTTGTTAGATATTACTGCACTGTCGGAGCTAGAAGCACAAGCATTTCGCTACACCCGCTATAACATCTGCTAAACACGTGTATGTGACAAATAAAATTTGATTTGATTTGGACCCCAGTCGTGTCCGTATAGCCTCTCCCAACCAGCGTCTAACTGCGTGCGCTAAGCGGGGACGCTTGTGATTGGCCAGCATATGCATGTCATGCAAAGAGTGAGAGAGCCGCTTGTGATTGGTCTGCATCCTCTGTGCATGTAGAGAGTAAATGAATGGAGTCTAGCACATCTCAGTGGAGGAGGTACCGTATAGTTTTTGTTGTATTTTAATTTGTCATTTAGCAGACACTCTTATCCAGAGTGACTTATGGTAGTGAGCTCATATATTTTCATATTTTTTTGTACTGGTCCCCCATGGGAATCGAACCCACAACCCTGGCGTTGCAAGCGCCATGGTCTACCAACTGAGCCACACGGGACACTGGTATTAACGGAGTGTCAAAGGAAGGAGAAAATCGTAGCCACTTGCGATATGGATATTGCATATGTCAATATCGCAATTTCGATCTGAATTCTATTAATCATGCAGCCCTAGTGCACAATATAGGGGATAGGGTGCCATTTGGGACACAGACTCAGTCTCTCCAAGGAGACCGGATTGGAGAGACGCGCCGACACTCAGTCAGAACACCCTTCACTACTTCCAGTGGTCCAACACCCCTTGGCCTGCCCTCCAGTGGAGCAGGCCTGACCTGGCATGATGATTTAATGTTAGCTAGCCCTTAGTTCCACTCTGTACGTAATTAGGGAGTGTGGTTGCTTGGAGCTCTGTCAGAGCCACATTGCATCTCTCATATCAGCAACACCTATCATCACTGGTTTGATAGAAACCTTGGGAAAGTTTTTTTTACTATGCTAGTCTCTGCCAGTAGATAAAGAGAGAGTCAGATTCCTCACTAGCGGTTTTGGTGTGTCCTGCGGGGTGATAAAGTGAAAACATGTGGTGAGCACACGGCCAAGGCATCCTAATTATTTTGGGAGGCTTGTCCAATAGTGTAGAGGGATTGCAGCATTCTCTGATTTAATAGATTCTGGGAATCAACCCACTCATTTATCACGAGGGTGAAAAGAATGGGAACATTTTACCTGGCATTTGTTAGATATCTAACGATCCATTTGATCATTTTAAAATAGAAAAATACATCACTTAGTTAATATCTTGATTGCCTTCCCTTAGATATCACCTTATGTATCATCTCAAAGGTACATTTTTTGATTTGACTTGGGTTGCTTCCCAAATGGCTCCCTTTACTGTACATACAGTACAGTGCACTACTTTTGACCAGAGCCATATGGGCCCTAGCTGGTCAAAAGTAGTACACTATTTGAGACACAACTAGAATTATTATTATTTTTCATTGTGGTTTGTGTTTCAGATTGATAAGCAGCAGTTTGAGGAGACTGTGAGGACGTTGAACAACCTGTATGCTGAGGCAGAGAAGCTGGGAGGCTCGTCGTATCTAGAGGGCTGTCTGGCCTGCCTCACAGCTTACACCATCTTCCTCTGTATGGAGACACACTATGAGAAGGTGGGAGACCCTCACCCATCCACACAATTTGGGTTGTAAAATATGGTAACTTTCCCCAGATTCCCAGGTTTCCAGATATCATGTTTGGAAGTACAAAAAAAAAGTATGAATGTATGCACTGACTACTGTAAGTCGCTCTGGATAAGAGTGTCTGCCAAATGACAAAATAAACAAATATTCCCAGAATAAGCAGGAAATGTGGAATCTTTCAAGGATTTCTGGAAAACCTGGGAATTTTGAGAAACATACCAGAATTCTGCAACCCTACATACAACTTAATGTATGCTGACTACAAAGCTATGCCAAGTAAAGCCAATGTACTGTAAAAAATGCTTTGAAGTTCTCAAACTTGAGAGCTTGAGGACAAACAGATTTAATAGATTTTACCCTAATCAGCAGCCCTATTTTGGAGTCAGAAAGAAATGCCCCCTCATAGAAATTGCTTGAAATTAAATGGTATTTTGTTCCCACGCTGGTCTTTATTACTGTCATGTAATCCATCAAGATATTTGGTCAATGGTTTTATCTTTCATGTTGCAATTCTGAATTAGTAGGGAGGAACCCAAACCAGTACAGTGAAGGTAAAATGAGATGTGAGATATTTATTTATATTAATATAATCAATCACCTTTTATGATGTATAGTCAGTTAATATGGCAGAGAACAGGACAGCTCTAACAGTAACGCCCATACAAGCTGATGTAGACAATCTGATTTAAAATGTACCTCTTTAGTCATTTCCAGAGCGGCTTACAGTATACAGTGGGGAAAAAAAGTATTTAGTCAAATAAAATAAAATAAAATTGTATTAGTCACATGCGCCGAATACAACAGGTGCAGACATTACAGTGAAATGCTTACTTACAGCCCTTAACCAACAATGCATTTATTTTAAACAAAAAAAGTTAAAATAAAACAACAACAACAAAAAAAAGTGTTGAGAAAAAAAAGAGCAGAAGTAAAATAAAGTGACAGTAGGGAGGCTATATATACAGGGGGGTACCGTTGCAGAGTCAATGTGCGGGGGCACCGGCTAGTTGAGGTAATATGTACATGTGGGTAGAGTTAAAGTGACTATGCATAAATACTTAACAGAGTAGCAGCAGCGTAAAAAGGATGGGGTGGGGGGGCAGTGCAAATAGTCCGGGTAGCCATGATTAGCTGTTCAGGAGTCTTATGGCTTGGGGGTAGAAGCTGTTGAGAAGTCTTTTGGACCTAGACTTGGCACCCCGGTACCGCTTGCCGTGCGGTAGCAGAGAGAACAGTCTATGACTAGGGTGGCTGGAGTCTTTGACAATTTTGAGGGCCTTCCTCTGACACCGCCTGGTATAGAGGTCCTGGATGGCAGGAAGCTTTGCCCCAGTGATGTACTGGGCCGTACGCACTACCCTCTGTAGTGCCTTGCGGTCGGAGGCCAAGCAGTTGCCATACCAGGCGGTGATGCAACCAGTCAGGATGCTCTCGATGGTGCAGCTGTAGAATTTTTTGAGGATCTGAGGACCCATGCCAAATCTTTTTAGTCTCCTGAGGGGGAATAGGCTTTGTCGTGCCCTCTTCACGACTGTCTTGGTGTGTTTGGACCATGATAGTTCGTTGGTGATGTGGACACCAAGGAACTTGAAGCTCTCAACCTGTTCCACTACAGCCCCGTCGATGAGAATGGGGGCGTGCTCAGTCCTCTTTTTTTTCCTGTAGTCCACAATCATCTCCTTTGTCTTGATCATGTTGAGGGAGAGGTTGTTGTCCTGGCACCACACGGCCAGATCTCTGACCTCCTCCCTATAGGCCGTCTCATCGTTGTCGGTGATCAGGCCTACCACTGTTGTGTCGTCGGCAAACTTAATGATGGTGTTGGAGTCGTGCCTGGCCATGCAGTCATGGGTGAACAGAGAGTACAGGAGGGGACTGAGCACGCACCCCTGAGGGGCCCCCGTGTTGAGGATCAGTGTGGCAGATGTGTTGTTACCTACCCTTACCACCTGGGGGCGGCCCGTCAGGAAGTCCAGGATCCAGTTGCAGAGGGAGGTGTTTAGTCCCAGGATCCTTAGCTTAGTGATGAGCTTAGAGGGCACTATGGTGTTGAATGCTGAGCTGTAGTCAATGAATAGCATTCTCACGTAGGTGTTCCTCTTGTCCAGGTGGGAAAGGGCAGTGTGGAGTGCAATAGAGATTGCATCATCTGTGGATCTGTTGGGGCGGTATGCAAATTGGAGTGGGTCTAGGGTTTCTGGGATAATGCTGTTGATGTGAGCCATGACCAGCCTTTCAAAGCACTTCATGGCTACAGACGTCAGTGCTACGGGTCGGTAGTCATTTAGGCAGGTTATCTTAGAGTCCTTGGGCACGGGGACTATGGTGGTCTGCTTGAAACATGTTGGTATTACAGACTCAGTCAGGGACATGTTGAAAATGTCAGTGAAGACACTTGCCAGTTGGTCAGCACATGCTCGGAGTACACGTCCTGGTAATCCGTCTGGCCCTGCGGCCTTGTGAATGTTGACCTGCTTAAAAGTCTTACTCACATCGGCTACGGAGAGCGTGATCACATAGTCATCCGGAACAGCTGGTGCTCTCATGCATGCTTCAGTGTTGCTTGCCTCGAAGCGAGCATAGAAGTGGTTTAGCTCGTCTGGTAGGCTTGTGTCACTGGGCAGCTCGCGGCTGTGCTTCCCTTTGTAGTCTGTAATAGTTTTCAAGCCCTGCCACATCCGACGAGCGTCAGAGCCAGTGTAGTACGATTCAGTCAGCCACCAATTGTGCAAGTTCTCCCACTTAAAAAGATGAGAGAGGCCTGTAATTTTCATCACAGGTACATGTCAACTATGACAGACAAATTGAGGAAAAAAAATCCAGAAAATCACATTGTAGGATTTTTAATGAATTTATTTGCAAATTATGGTGGAAAATAAGTATTTGGTCACCTACAAACAAGCAAGATTTCTGGCTCTCACAGACCTGTAACTTCTTCTTTAAGAGGCTCCTCTGTCCTCCACTCGTTACCTGTATTAATGGCACCTGTTTGAACTTGTTATCAGTATAAAAGACACCTGTCCACAACCTCAAACAGTCACACTCCAAACTCCACTATGGCCAAGACCAAAGAGCTGTCAAAGGACACTAGAAACAAAATTGTAGACCTGCACCAGGCTGGGAAGACTGAATCTGCAATAGGTAAGCAGCTTGGTTTGAAGAAATCAGAATGAATGGGGCCATGTATCGTGAGATTTTGAGTGAAAACCTCCTTCCATCAGCAAGGGCATTGAAGATGAAACGTGGCTGGGTCTTTCAGCATGACAATGATCCCAAACACACCGCCCGGGCAACGAAGGAGTGGCTTCGTAAGAAGCATTTCAAGGTCCTGGAGTGGCCTAGCCAGTCTCCAGATCTCAACCCCATAGAAAAACTTTGGAGGGAGTTGAAAGTCTGTGTTGCCCAGCGACAGCCCCAAAACATCACTGCTCTAGAGGAGATCTGCATGGAGGAATGGGCCAAAATACCAGCAACAGTGTGTGAAAACCTTGTGAAGACTTACAGAAAACGTTTGACCTGTGTCATTGCCAACAAAGGGTATATAACAAAGTATTGAGAAACTTTTGTTATTGACCAAATACTTATTTTCCACCATAATTTGCAAATAAATTCATAAAAAATCCTACAACGTGATTTTTTTTTTTTTTTTTCTCATTTTGTCTGTTATAGTTGACGTTTACCTATGATGAAAATTACAGGCCTCTCTCATCTTTTTAAGTGGGAGAACTTGCACAATTGGTGGCTGACTAAATACTTTTTTTCCCCACTGTACTATTACTAAACAAAAGCCTTTTTCAGATCCAGCTCTACCGGTTGGCACAGACAACCATATAGGATTTGATTTATTCTGGTGATCCATTGATTCAGACTGCTCGTGGGAGTCATAAAGGGGCTTACATGTTAAGGTCATCCTACCTGGAAATAATGTGGAGCCTTGGTCATATGCCTAAAGGAAAGCCTAGTGGGAAAATAGATAATTGTAATCTAGGAGGATAAATGCTATTTCTCTTGTTTTGATGGGGCCTGCTGCTGTCGAGCGAGCCACTCTCTCTCTCCTTTCCCGGGGGAACAAAATGCTCCGGGAGAAAACAAAGTGTTCTGATTGTATAACACCAGTTGGAGAGAGGAGGTTCTCAGCTTTCTATAGGTATGCTTTGTATTTCTCAACTCTCAATGTTGAGCTCAGTAGCAACTATTTTATAAAGAAGATATTTGATATGTCTTTGAGATACAGAGCGCGTGAAATGCGCATTGTCCATTGCATTGGGTGGTAGGATACAACTGCAATGTCTTTTTGGGAACATTACATTTAATACATGGCTACTAGAAGTGGGTATTATATTTAGAGTTAGTGATCTAGCTAATGTGTTTTGAGTTTCCACTTTCTCAGGTGGTGAATTAACCCCAAATAAATTGGCCTATGATATTAGAGCACATAAAGATGCAGGCAAATTCATCTCTATTAAACATATTTTACAAAATCTGAAAATTCTAGGGCCCTATTTTAACAGTAAAATACAACAATACCTTATTTCTTCAATACCATCTCGGTAGTCTATTACACTTTTAAAAAATACACAGTGAATGACTTTATAAGACTATAATAATAATATGCCATTTAGCAGACGCTTTTATCCAAAGCGACTTAGTCATGCGTACATACATTTTATGTATGGATGGTCCCAGGAATCTAACCCACTATCCTGGTGTTGCAAGCATCGTGCTCTACCAACTGAGCTACTGAAATTTATATTGTGTGACAACACTTTTTTTTTTTGGGGTGCAACCAAATCATGGGCTGCTGCTATTTCCATATGCCAGTCATTTTCTTTCAAATCCATGAAGTGAACAAGTGCACACTTTGGGAGAAAGGAGAGATTATTGGGAAGCAACCCATGGGTTCTTGTAGAGAGGTGAAATATTGTTATGGATGTCCCACCATTAAGACTCCTTAATGACCTATCAGATAGCTGGTTGCATAGGCCTACAGACTACAGCCTACATCACAAAAAGGCCCAATAAGTCTCATGATATTAGAGACTGTATCGCGACCTAATGAAAATAAAGTGAGAGGGACTTTGTGAAATCGTCAATCACTGGTTTCATAGACGGAAAAGGAGTCTTAATGGTGAGCATCTCTGTGGCTTGGCTGTAAATCGACATTTGAGAAAGTTTTGTATGATTTATATGAATCTGGTACCATAGAAAAGTTCTAGTACGCTATGTACAGAAATAAGTGTGTCATTGGTCTTCCAATTTCATCTGGATTTCTATTCGACCAGACAGGTTTGATATGGGATGATTTGAACCATTGGCTTGATTTTTATATTTTATGAGGGCTCATAAAGATAGAAGTCAAGATGTATGATTTGAAATTACTTCTCAACTGAGCACACCCAAAAGATTAACTACAGTAAATTTGACAAAAGCTCGATGGTATCAAATTTACGTCATAAGTTGATTATTATTATTTATTTAGCTAACCCTAACCCTTTTCCTAACCTTAACCTAATTATCCTAACCTGCAATGTTATTTATCCTAACCTGCTGCGTAAGTTCTCCTAAACCTGCTACAAAACGTCAAGTCTGACAAAAGCTTGATACCTTCTAGCCATGACCATCCTTCCAGCACACTTAGAACATAAGGGGATGAGGTCAAGGTTGAGAGAGACACAAGTCTACTGGTAGGCTATCCCTTTATTGGTGAAAGGAAATTCTCCAGCTTGAAAGTAAAGTTGACAATATTCCAACATGGAATAATTCAACTAAAACAATGTATGGCAAGGAGAGTTGGAAAATTGAAAATGTTATATTTTTTCTCTTTTCAGGTTTTGAAGAAGATTGCCAAGTTCATCCAGGAGCAGAATGATAAGATCTATGCCCCACGAGGTCTTCTCCTCACCGACCCTATTGAGAGAGGCCTCAGAGTTGTATCCTTCTACACCAAGCAGTTTGATAGCCATTAAAGCAACATGTCTATTTTTGAAAGGAGACTCAGGCTGCATCCTAAATGGCACCCTATTAAGGCTACTACTTTGTAAGGTAGTGCACTATATAGGAAATGGAGTGCCATTTGGGACGCAGTCTCAATACGTGCTGGGGACACGGGGTAAACCAGTTACTCTTAGCCAATAGCACTTAGAAAAACCTCTATTTAGAATTAGTGTTCTGCTTTTTTTCAGTACCCACAACAAACTAGGCCATTTGAGGGCGTTTGGAAACACCTTCAATGTGTTATTTAGGCCTTCATTAAGTCTGTCAGAAATTGCTTACCCTACAAATGTAAACACAGAAATACAAGCTGCTTGTATTACAATAACAGCACAATGAGTTGCGTGATGCAGCCTGATATTAGATATTAAAGTCGGAGTTGGGCTAGCTCAATATTGATGTGCTGTACAGTGCTAGCTAGAACAATGAAGTTTCACAGTGACCTGCTGCCGATGTGTGACTGAGTGGTTATGTGGTATTACCACGGATGCGTCCCAAATAGCACCCTATTCTCTATACAGTGCACTGCTTTTGACCAGAGCCCCATAGGGAATAGGGTGCCATTTGGGACACATACCAGAGTACTGTGTGGTGTGCTCCCCTCCAGAACCCCTTCCTGCTTGCCTGTAAATGGAAACCAGGAGTCTGGACAGCTCAAAGGAAACCTAGTGGTACCCTGTAATAACACCAGATACAAGTTATATTTAATCCATTTCATCTGCATTAAATCATAGGGTGCAGAAACAGTTTCTGTTCTCCAAGTATGTGGGGTGCAGCCTGAGTGACTGACTCAACATCCACATTAATTGTACTGAGGGCTGGGGCAGGCAGTGAAATATGACTGAAATTGTTTGCAGCTGAGGACCTCCTCCTCTTGTATGATTTCATTGAATGCGTACCAAATGGAAGCTTAATCCCTATATAGTGCACTACTTTTGACCAGAGCTCCATAGACTCTGGTCGAAAGTAGTGAACTATAGGATAGGGTGTCATTTAGGAAGCAGACCTTGGCTTTATGGCGACCTCCTGGATTATTTCTCCAGCACTGCGGAGCTGCTGATTTTGGCCTGGGAGCGGCTGGGATAGCAGAGTGGAGATGGACAGGAATGTCACACCTGCTCTGTTTTCCCTCCATGTCCTCTCAATGCACCCAAACAAAGTAGATGTCTGCATTTTCTAATGTCTGATTTGATGTCTTGACTATTGCTGCCCAAGTGCTTTACTCATAGCAGTATGTGTCTGTAGATGTAACATTTTAGAGGAATTTTGCATTGCCTTCAAACATTGTACTTTAACTAAACATGATCCAGGTTGAAGTAACCATCTTTGAAGACAGGAGCCTGGGCAGATAAAATCTACAGTACTATGGTGAGTTTCTATGGAAGCATTTAGCTCCCCAAACTCAATTGCAATTCCTTTTCCTAAATGTGTATGCATTTTTTGTGACAAAATTCTAATTGAAATGCAAAAGATATCGCGTTATCATTTTCATGATTGAGTATGCATAATGTCTGTTAATTGTGTTTGATATTTCATTTCCATGGTACTATCCAGTACAACACTGACACATTTAAAAATGGAATGTAAATGCTTAAATTACAAATAATTTATCATGTTTGCCCTTTCATTTTCTTGTTGTGATAGCATGAATTGTGACAAAAATAATTGATTTTCCCTACTCTGTGTGGTTTAAGACTGTCAATATTCAAATGATCAGTCAAATACGATAAATCAATCGCAATGCTTCATTTTGCTATTTAGTTTCCTAATTTCCTCGTTTTCAACCTGTGTTGATTGTCAATCGAACATTGTGGGTGGGGTTTCGGTAACGTTAGTCGGAAGAGGTTGCCTGTGTTGCTGGCAACAGTCACTTTCGGTCGTAGCTGTATCAATGTGATGCGTTTTTAGGCTGTCCCGGCAACAACAGCCAGTGTGAAACCCCACAGAAGAAGAACAGACCGTGTGTGCAACGAGTTCGTGGGAGGGGACTATAAAGCTCAGTGGAAGGGACACGGGGAGATACTAGTAGCTAGTTAATATGGCTAATTGGCTATTATAGGTAGCTAGCTACCGATAGGTTAGATGGCTAGCTAGTAGCCTAGGAACATTCAGACACAGATAGAACAATGAGCCAGATATTTCACCAGATGTATGAGTGTGAAGCATCCAGTTGTCATTTCCACTCTACCAAATATGGTGATGAGAGGAAGCCCAGTGGCCGGCAGTGGGAGAAAATGGCCGAGCTGGATTTTTACCAACATTCTGCCAATTTTCACATCAATGAAACATTTTCTCAATACAGTTTTCTGTTCCCAAAACTAGAATATGTTACGAACAGAGTGGACTAAGTTTTGTGGATTTTACCCTTTGCTAAAGTGAAAAACGATTGCGTTGTTTAGAAGGAGTGCAAGGGCGAATTGAGTTATTGCACACGCGCACTTCACAGAGTGGGCGTTCCCTAATGGAAATATGCAAATACATGCTAGAATGCGCCAATAGGATCTCGCTAGCTCGTGCTTGGCTCTGCCCCCTCCTTGCTTGTTCTGCCCACAGTGACTCATTTGTTCCCATTGGAAACGACAGGCTTTGGTCTATCTTGGGTTAGTTATATAAAATATTTGATACAGAGAAGGAACTGCCAGATGCGTCATAATAGCCCAGAAGTAAAGCCACACGGAGCCACGTTTTAAATAAAATACATAGAAAACATGGAGCAGGGTGGAAAGAATAGCATGAAAACATGATTTAAATGTATTTTTTCGGAAGGGCTGTGGTCACCATTCAATTAATACATTAAATATGTACATCTCATGGTAGTGGGGAGCAATTTTCTAGCTTTTTCACGGGTCCATTGTTTTCCCATTTACGTCTTAGAGCAACCCTATATTCTTGGCAGCCCTGGTGTGAAGGGGAGGAATGGCAGAGCAGACCGTCATATGACCCTAAATATTTTGATGTGCAATTTGGAATTACAATTTAAGAGGACCAGTGCTTCTATAGCGAAAATAAATCTCACATCTGTGCCGTTTGGGAGCTATGTTGTTAGGCTACATATTGTTTCCTCTTCAGAGTATGCTGGTGCACAAGTGATGCATTGTATCATTTCGCTTGACTGTGACAACCCCAAGTTCTTTCAAGTTTTGCACTGTATGTTCTGAAGGTTTGTATAAAAATGAAGTTTAAAGACATTATCAGGGATGGGCAAACTTGATTGGGGGTTTGGGGCCACAAAAAAATGGAACTCATCTTGAGGGGCCGCAGTGGCTCGTGGGTCTGTGTACCCACATCCATCCACCCCCACCCCCCTTGCGAGCAAAACATTTCATGCAATTCTACTAATTTTACCATGGGGCAGAGAGAAACATTTTTACAGCTAATTTCCTTCAATTCTAAAGATTTTGCCATAGGGTGGAGACAAATGTTTGCAGTTATTAATATGATAACTGATGATTACAGCGCAATGCCCGCCACATGATCTCCAGCCCAGACCATCGACTTCACCACTGCTTTGATCTCCCATCAGGGGAGTTTAATCCCAGGGGCTATCACTATTATGAACAACTCCCCATATGGACAGGGGTGGGGTGGGAGGGTAGTAAAGGTATTTCTCTGACTGTTCCTATTTTTTGTTTTCTATATGTTTTGTTTAGGCCTATGTGATCTGTGAGAAGTGCTAAGATTTCCTCTTGTAGGACAAACATGAATCTGAATCGCAATTGTTTTCGCTTTTCAACCATATGACCGTCATTATTCAAATGCTTTGATATAGTTTCATTCACTCAATTGTATTAAAGTTTAGTGCTGGTATTATGTTCTCCTTCATGGCATGAGGAGTGATAGCACATATACTGAAGAGAACTTACAAGATTGATTTGGCTTCATTCTCTCATTGATACGTTTCACACCTTCCCAAACACACATTTGAGTTCCACACATTGTAAAGGAATAACAGTAGGAAACAAGAATGATTCATAAATAGAAGCAAGCACCAACAGCTTGATAAAAAGTGTCAAACACACATTGAAAGCATAACTATAATAATAGTGGGAATATATCCATGATAAAAACAAGAGAATGGAATATAATTGGATAAATCTGAAAAGAGATTTGCAGCCACTAATCATGTGTGGATCGCTATTTCTAAAATCAATATGGACAGCGCCGGTACTGAAAGTTGAATAGGCAAATGTTCGAACGAGGGCTTTGTTGGGACACTAAGAAATAAGAGGTAGGCTTACCTGTTTGACAGACGCAATTACGCCCTCCTAATATTGAGCTGCACCCCTTTTTGCCCTCAGAACAGCCTCAATTCATTGGGGCATGGACTACAAGGTGTCGAAAGCATTCCACAGGGATGCTTGCCCATGTTGACCCCAATGCTTCCCACAGTTCTATCAAGTTGGCTGGATGTCCTTTGGGTGGTTGACCATTCTTGATACACACGGTTAACAGTTGAGCGTGAAAAATCCAGCACTCAAACCGGTGCACCTGGCACCTACTACCATACCCTGTTCAAAGGCATTTAAATCTTTTGTCTTGCCCATTCACCCTCTGAATGGCACACATGCACAATCTGTCTCAATTGTCATCTACACTGATTGAAGTGGATTTAACAAGTGACATCAATAAGGGATCATAGCTTTCACAATGATTCACCTGGTTGGTCTATGTCATGGAAATATGTTTTGTACACTCAGTGTATAGTGAGTTATTCAGTATATAGTACAGCTTCGCCTCTCTGTCACTGATCCATAAATACTTTAGAAATGAAGACAGGGTTGTAGTGGAGCAGCTTGAGAGCTTCAAGTTCCTTGGTGTCCACATCACCAACAAACTATCGTGGTCCAAACACACCAAGACAGTCATGAAGAGGGCACGACAAAGCAAATTCCCCCTCAGGAGACTGAAAAGATTTGGCATGGGTCCTCAGATCCTCAAAAAGTTCTACAGCTGCACCATCGAGAGCATCCTGACTGGTTGCAACACTCCCTGGTATGGCAACTGCTCGGCCTCCGACCGCAAGGCACTACAGAGGGTAGTGTGTACGGCCCAGTACATCTTTGGGGCCATGCCTCCTGCCATCCAGGACCTCTATATCAGGCGGTGTCAGAGGAAGGCCCTAAAAATTGTCAAAGACTCCAGCCACCCTAGTCATAGACTGTTCTCTCTGCTACCGCATGGCAAGCGGTTCAGGTGCGCCAAGTCTATGTCCAAAAGGCTTCTTAACAGCTTATACCCCCAAGCCATAAGACTCCTGAACAGCTAATCAAATGGCTTCCCGAACTATTTGCATTGTCCCCCCACCCGCTCTTTTACACTGCTGCTACTCTCTGTTTATTATCTATGCATAGTCACTTTAACTCTACCTACATGTACATATTACCTCAATTACCTCGACTAACCTGTGCCCCCGCACATTGACTCTGTACCGGTAACCCCTGTATATAGCCTCGCTACGGTTATTTTACTGCTGCTCTTTAGTTATTATTATTATTATTATTTTATATATTTTTACTTATCTATTTTTTACTTAACACTTTTTCTTAACTGCATTGTTGGTTAAGGGCTTGTAACTAAGCATTTCACTGTAAGGTCTACACCGTTTTGTTTTCGGCGCGTTTGACAAATACAATTTTATTTTATTTCTGTCTGAGCATAGCTAGCAAGACCAGGCAACCTCTTCTGCCTCACGTTACCAAAACCCCGCCCACTGTGTATGATTGACAGGTCTAACATGCATCGAAAACACAGAGGATCAATGAGGAAACTAAATGGCAAAATGAAGCATTGCGATTTATTTATCTAATTTGATTGATCATTTGAATTTTGACAGTCTTAAACCACACAGAGTATGAAAAATCATTGTCAATTACAGTTGAGAATTCGTTTTCTTTTTGTCACAATTCATTCATTTCAATTTGAAAATGCATACCCATTTTAGGAAAAGGAATTGCAAAAATGATATTGATTTATCATTTACCCATTACAATTTAACATTGAATTATGTCACTCATAGGCTTCCATAAGTTTGAAGACACAGTCATGCCACACAGGATGTGTACAACAGATTCCATTTGGGCAATTCTACGGGTAACAGAGTGATGCTGAGACTCAGATTCTTCACTTTAAAATGTATGTCAAACAAAAACCAATGATTGCAAAGTTAACAAACCATACAACTCTATGCACAAGGACTGCTTTTAACAATGACCACTGAACATTTTATAAAAAACACATTACAGAACAGTACAGATGAACATTACAGATGAACATTTTGGAAACAGAATGACAGTTTGTGCTGTTTGTGCCTTTACTCTGTTACCAAACTTTGCATCTGCACTATTCTTCAAGTAAATGTGGAAATTGTTCAAAGTAGTCCTTGTGCATAGTTGTATGGTTTGTATCATGGAATTGCCCATATGCCTGTCTTTGTAGTCTTTCTGTACTGCTTACAAAATGACTATGTAGCAATGGAATACCATCAAACTGCTCAATGGGTGAAATGTAAAAGTATCTGTGAGTAAATGAGACCGCATAAGACCAATTTCTGTAATCTAATGATGGATAGAAATATGTGGCATGTTATTGAATTGAAATATGGATGCTCTTGCTTTCCAAGACTAACATTATATTCTTCCTGGTTCACCCCCATGCTGTTACTAAATCCAGATAATCTTTGAGACCATGTCATTGCTCCAGAGCAATTTGTATTTACTCTCCTGCTGTGCAGTTCCCATCTACTCTGTTTTCTATTGGTGAAATCGTATGACCGTATCACAGCCACTCTGACAGCACAGGGTTTTTGTCCTAAGATTTTCATGAGAACTACATGTCATGTCTTGAATCTATTTGCCTCACTCAAGCACACCTTTCCGCCTTGTGTAAGTTATTGAATATGACAAAGAACATAATTTTCCCATTAAGATCCCAACCCATTTTCATCACGCTGTGAAACTGTTTACTAACTATTAACGACAACATCTGATCTTGGTGTTTTTCAACACCAGTCTTTTCTGCCTGTAGAGAGAGCCACCATTTTTTATGGATCGGCGGAAGAACATACAGTATATGCCATTTAGCAGATGCTTTTATCCAAAGCGACTTAGTCATATGTGCATACATTTTACGTATGGGTGGCCCCGGGAATTTAACCCACAATCCTGGCGTTTCAAGTGCCATACTCTACCAACTGAGCCATACAAGACCACATAACCCTATTTGTTCATCAGGTGCTGGTGCAGCCCTGGTCCTGGTGCAACAAAGTGCATACAGAGATGATTATTTTCATTAGAAATTCCTGCCAGGCACCTCTATACATATACATGTCTTTGTGAGGAATGTAAACTGCTCTTTTATAAGTAGCTGTTGAGAGGGGAGTCCGTTGGACCGTTGCCATGGTCAAAGAAAGGATAAACCACTCTTAGCAAAGAGAATGCGTGCGTGCTGTTTCAGTCATAGTCTTTTATGCCCCCTGGACAGACAGTGTTGCAATAGCGTCATCCTGCTGCTCTGCTGCGTTCTCCTTCCTGTTCCTCGTTCCGTAGCAGAGCAGAAGGCCACAGTGGACCTGCCGTGGAATTTCACAGTTTGGGGTGAAATGTTTGACGAACGGTCCGCTGGTGTATTTGCTCCAGACGGCAGTGTAGGAAAACAGACGCTGAGCAGTTAATGGTTGCAAAATGAGTAATTAACAGACGACCGTGCCAAGTCTATCTCCCCATGCTGCTTCTCCTGTTCCACCACGGTACTGTCTAGGAGCAAGACCAATACCCTGGGTGTTTTCCTGGTGCCAGTCTGCCAACATGCTGATCGCTTTAGAGAGTGGGCACCTGGGCTTTCTTGACCTACAAATCATTAGTCTTTGGAGAGAATAACTGCTGTCAAGTGTGAATATGGTGTGTAAAATAAAGATACATGTAAGGAAATACTTGATAGTTGGAGTCTTCTCAGGAAAAGCTTTGAAATAACCGAATAGCTTTGATATAACCACAATTGATGATACAGTCAGGTAATAAATAGTGGTTGAGCACAGTGATGTGATGTGAGGTGTAGTTGTGTGATGGTGAAGTCAATAGTGGGTGATTAGAGCCATAGAGGTGAGAGTAGCTAGCTAACTGACATTTGTTTGGCAGATCCCCAAAAATGTACAAAATATTCACTACCTGCTGTTTAGGGGGCTTTTTTTTTTTCACTGAACTTTTCTTACATTTGGCAGATCCCAGGCTGTCTGGACTGGAGCTCTGAGGGGGCCGGGGCTGGTTTCATCTGGTTCTGTCTCAGCATCACCTGGTCCTGGGAGGGTGGGTCCACCTCCAGACTGAGGACCACTTCAACCTTCAGCCGGCTGAACATCATACCAGCCCTCCTGGCTCCCATTCTGACTACTGCGTCTCTACAATCTCCCCTGTACTCTTCTATACACTCTACTAACTCAGCTACAGTAAATGATGCTGGGGACATATTACAGAACAAAATCTTAAATGCCGTCCTAAAGTGAAATAAGATAAGATGGAATATGACAGTTAGGATGTTTTCTGTAATACATCCTCTGACTCTTAATCCTCTAAAAGGTATTTCCTCTCTCTATTTATAACTACTACTTAGTGTACCTTAAGTCTATTTACTTTTGCCTGTACAGAGATTTATTTGCTTTACAAAACCAAATGGCCCAAATTATGCATGCATTCTACTTGCATGTTGCGTCAATGCTTAGATGGTTATTTTGTCAAATGTACCTGTGCCATGCATAGTGTTTGTTTTGTGACTGCTGTTCATTTTGCCATGCATTGATTGACATGTGTGTAGGTAGGCTATGTAAGCACATTTGATTGCCTTCAAGTGAAGCGTAAGGCTGAGAAGTGCTCTTGGTTGTCTCCAATGCCTGCAGTTGTTTTGCAGATTGCCTCAGTCAGCTCAGTGGGTTCCCGGCAGGTGTATCTTAGCATCGCTGATGGCACCTTAATTGGGGAGGATGGGCTCATAGTAATGGCTAGAATAGAATGAATGGAATGGTATCAAATATGGTTTCCGTGTGTTTGATACCATTCCATTTACTCCATTCCAGCCATTATTATGAGCCGTCCTCCCCTCACCAGCCTCCTGTGCTTAGCATACTGTCCTAGCAGCCATCTTATTTAGATTATCCTAACTTGTGCTCACTTAACTCTATAAACTCGACAGCAAGCAAGTTAAAAACCTAAGATGATTTCTAAACAACCCCAACTTCTTGATTTATTTGTTCTTGTATTGATCAAGTGTATGAATGGAGGACATTAGATTGATAATACTTTTGCTGATGCTATAGAGATGCACTCACCGTAGGAGGGTAGAATATGACCTTGCTCAGTGGAACTACATCCATTTCATAGTGATTCCTTTAGAATGTTAAATGCTGAGATTATTTAGTCAGACTGAAATCTCAATGTTTCCCTTTTAGTGCTATATTACTGATAATCTAACACTACAAAAATGTCTAACTATAGATTATAGATTTTATGGAATGTTTTGAGGGTAGGTAATAATGAAAGTCATAACTAAGTCATTATCATTAACTATCCTCATTTATTGTAAATATAATTTAATTATATTCTGAAAATGACAATTTTGACCAAAATGAAAATGTATTTAATTTGGCCTTTTTAACTTTTCTGTTTAGTTTGATAAATTAGTATACCTTTTATATGTTCTTTTTTAAGTTTGAATGAAAACTGTTTCTTAACTTCTGAATTGTATCATAATAAATCAAACGTGTACATCTTCTACAACTGGATGCTGCAGAAGTTCATTAGGATTTTTAATAGCTTAAAGAAAACAAACTGTACACAAAGTGTAATCTGTAATAGAAATGTTATCTGTAAATTGACATCACGTCTTTAAATAGATTTTAGGATAGGACATTTGCCTGAGATCAGCCCTCCTCTTCATCCATACACTAATAGCATAGATGGACAAACACTGGTTTCACACAGACTGTGTGTGTGCTGATGTCTGGTCAGAGTGTGATTTAGAGAGGAAAAGTTACAATCTAGGGCTGGAAAAACATCAGGACTTCCCAGAGAGCTGTTTTCAGTTCCAGGTAATATTTTCTCTTGTCCACAAGAGTTATAGAGGAGCACCAGCCCGAATAAATCTCCCTGAAAATAGTAGTATTTCTCTCTGTTAAACTAAACATTCACAGAAAAGTCATTCTGGGTATAACTAAGGCGGTGGAGAGAGATTTCTAGTAAGATTTGACAAAGGGACACAGCTACGTCCCAAATTGCACCCTATTCCCTATGTAGTGCACTATTGAAGGGCGGCAGGTAGCTTAGTGGTTAAGAGCGTTGTGCCAGTAACCGAAAGGTCGCTGGTTCTAATCCCCGAGCCCACTAGGTGAAAAATCTGTCGATGTGCCCTCGAGCAAGGCACTTAACCCTAATTGCTCCTGTAAGTCGCTCTGGATAAGAGCGTCTGCTAAATGACCAATTATATTGACCGGAGTGCATTACATAAGGAATAGGGTGCCATTTGGGATGCAGAAACAGAACTTTCCCATGAGCTCTGAGGTAACTCTTGACTAAGAGAAATGAGAGCCCATCACCTGTTCTGGTTCCCTGTCCTCTCCCAAGCCGAGCCGAAGAAAGAGACTGCTGAACCATATCCCCTCCAGTTTTAGCTCGCTCATCCTCTATTCAGGAATGCCTCACACATAATTGGATCTCCCTTCAACCTTTAATCACATGAATGCAGCGCTTTGTTACCTCATAGAGCAGAAGGAGATTTTCCCTTGCCCAAGCATGTCTAGTCAAACGAATGTCTGTCGTTACCCACTGAACTCACTCTCAAGTTACCCGTGACATTCCCCATCCTGGTGGCACAGCATAGTAGGTGGTCTTCCCTCCCTGGCTGCAAAACAAGACCCTCAGCCGTGTGAGGAGTGTGGTTAGTCTGTGTGTCTTGTTCGACATGTGTGTCCGTGTGGACTACAGTATATCAGGGGAATGGGTGGTCTTGGTAGTTGGTAGGGGATTAAACAAACACTTGGATACGCCACCTGCCTGCCTGCGCCGTAACATCTAATCAGTCAGGAGGACCAAAAACTAAAACAGTCAGAGGGTGATAGGTGTGGAATTTATGGTCCTGGATTAATGACATCTTCCATTGTAGTAGGCTATGCATGGCTGGGGCTAAATGCTGCTTCTGTAATTGCGTCCCAAATGGCACCCTATTTCCTTTTTAGTGCACAAGGCTTTTGACCAGGACCCATGGGGCTCTAGTCAAAAGTAGTTCATTATATAGGGAATAGGGTGGTGCCATTTGGGGCAAAGCCTATGCTTGAGACCTGGAGCATTTGTCTTAACCTGACAAGCTGCTTCACAGTTTTCTTAACAGCCCTGTTCCTGGGGGTGCTGGAGATAAACCTTATTAGTCCTGCTGAGTAATGCGGGGCTGCTTACATTAGCACAGGAGACAGTCCTAACAAAGAGTAATGAGGCCTGGATTTACTCCGACCAATGGCAACGGGACATTCATCTCTCTCTAGTTTTCCCTGAACAGCAGTTACCCAGTGAACAGCTCCAAATGCAATGCATACCATGCTTCTACCAAGTGCATACAAAGCTTGGCATTTGGAGTAGCTTGCTGCAGAAAGTCCAAAACTTTTGTAGTACTTCAAACTCATTGTCATTTGCTTTATGGACTATTACAGAGTATAGAATAACTGTCTTCCTCTCCTCTTCAGGTGTGGCACAATGCGCACATAACTCTCTAACAAATGTCAAGGCAGCATAAATGAAAGAGTTAAACTAGGTGTGAGAATGTTGCTGATGACACACTAAAAGAAAGTCACTCCCGTTTAAGTAATTCAGAGTGCAGATGTTAAAGGACATCGCTTGGTCATACTGTAGAAATGATAGGAAAGTCAACAGAGCAGTGAAGAACAAACTGTAATGACTATAAATGACCAGAGGATGGAGATCATATATCATCATAGAGAATGATAGAGACCTCTAGTGGTCAAAAGGCCTTATTAGTCCTCTCTATCTCTATGTATACCAAACTGTAGTAGACTACTGCTTTATGGTCCACAGCCAAATCACTACCCTAAAGTTAAACAACCAGAAGATGGCAGCAAATTCAAGGACTGAGGAAATCAGCACAGTGTGTGATCATGGGGATGGTGTCATTAGGCATCATTTATATCTGGGTGGCAGCAAAGGTAGCTGGTTCGAATCCCTGAGCCGACTAGGTGAAAAATCTGTCTGTGCTCTTGAGCAAGGCACTTAATCCTCATTGCTCCTGCAAGTTGCTCTGGATAACAGCTTCTGCTAAATGACCAAATTGTAAATATCTGAATATACAACCAACAACTTAGATTTGTTTACTTTAATATAGTTAACGAAGGACATTATGGATTTTTACACTCCATTCAAGTATACAGTTAGCATAACATACTGTAGCCATTCAGCTGTCACTGTACTGTACCCTCATAAAACAGAGGATGACAGTTTGGTAGCACCATTCTTTTTCAAAAGTACAATAAACTAATGAGACACAAATTATTGTACAAAGAAACTGAAAGAAAAAAAGAAAAACAATGCAATTAAAATCCCTGACTTTTACAACAATAAGTTACTAATATGATGTTTGCTGGAAAAGATGAGATTGTTCATGAATGTTGAAAAGGAAAAGGAAAAAAATACTTTATTTCTCTCAATATATGGCACTGAGGGGCATTAGTTGTTTCCCTCCATTTTAACTACCATACTACCGCCACTCTGTTGTGGCGTGGAGTAGACGAATGTGTGCCATTTGGTCACAGTTTTTACAATGGAAAAGGAACTTCTCAGGCACTTGAGACGGGTACTGGGGTTGATTACAGATGTCAGAATGGGGAACACCACAGAATAGCTTAAAGATAGAGTGTGTTGACCATATAAATCTATACCACAGACTGAAAGATTGGTGAGGGTAACAACCTTGTACTTCAAAATAATGTTGTCTAAGAGGAAATAGAAGACAGGGGAAATTATTAGATCACATAGCAACTTGCTGTGCAAGAAAAAAGGCACAGGACATCTGTTTGTTAAACACTTCACAACAACAATGCACTTACTGGCAGTTAGTTATTGCATCCTATTGTATTGTATTGCATTGTACTATACTGTGTCCTCAATACTCATCTTCATTAAGCTACTCAGAGAGTAGCCTATATGAGGCCCTTACTTTTTATAAAGATAATGATCAATGAAGTCTGTAGTATTCCCAAATATGCCTTTGCTCGTAGTTCAAGAGAGAGATTTCTTTGTCAGAGATATCCAACCTCTGGGAAAATGACCTTTGACCTTTGAATGTTTTATCATTAAAAAGAAAATATGAAAGTGCAGCAGGATTCACTTTCATTACTGTACTTCAGAGACTTTACACAGCGCCCAAAAGTAGTGCACTATATAGGGACTAGGGTGCTATTTGGTCTCATCATCACCTCTAGTGTGGAACATTGGGGATGTATATTTCATGTCTCTAACCCAGGGGTGTGAGATAAACTCCATCAGTCCCTTTTGATCTCAACCAGAGAGCTGGGAGAGGCTGCCTGCTTTTGGGCTGAACTAATGAGAGGTGATTGAATTTGTGATGACAGAAGGATACATCAAATGATCTGCCTAGGAAAGAGAGGAGATGTCTGAAAGAGGTGGGCAGCATTCCTCACTATTTTATTTTTATTTAACCTTTATTTAACTAGGCAGTCAGTTAAGAACAAATTCTTATTTACAATGACGGCCTACCAAAAGGCGTCCTGCGGGGACGGGGGCTCGGATTAAAAATAAAAATATAGGACAAAACACACATCACGACAAGAGAGACACCACAACACTACATAAAGAGAGACGTAAGACAACAACATAGCATGGCAGCAATACATGACAACACAGCATGGTAGCTAGGAGGGGTATTCTTAACAGCTGTAGTCTTATTGGTAACAAGATAAAAGAGTTCACCCTGGACTGCTGACTGGGGAACAGAGAGAGAGCGAGAGGGGGATGTCTAGTGGTTGGGGACATTTTGGCCGTTTCTCTGTGGTGGTGATGGTTGCTCTGTTCTTCTCTGTCTCTTCCATCCTTTTACCTGTGGGTCACCTGGTTGTTCAGTAGCCCAGGGAAGGACTCCTCACTCTCACTGCTTAACGAACCACCTGGACACAGGAAAGGGACAAATGGTCACACATTGTTACAATTCAACATTTAAAAATGACTCAACGCTTTACACTTTCAGTTCAACATTTCTCATTACACTTTCAAAGTTACACTTTCAAATCAACGTTTGTCAGACGTTTTTTAGACTACTAAAGTAGTGTAATGTCGAGATGAAACCAAGTCCCAAGACATTAGTTGTTAAAGGGCAACTCCGACACTTTTCAACCTCATATTAATTATCTCCAGCACCAAACCAGTGTCTACATATGTGAAAAGGGCGTATTTCTATGATCTGTGGTAAAATGATAAGATAGGTAATAGAAAATGCTTCATAACAGGGTAGGATTAAAAGTAAGAAAAGCTGTGATTTTCAAAACCTGCAACAAGTTTCTAGCCAGAGGGAGGTTATTTCCTTGCTCCCCACGTCACGCGAATCTCATAGTGTTTGAAAATCACTAAAATGTTGTAACTTTTGATGATGTCATCTGGTATAACTTTTTTTCTACAAAACCGTTTTCACATATTTAGACACTGGTTTGGTGCTGGAGATAATGAATATGAAGTAGAAAGGTGGCGGAGTTGCCCTTTAACATCCAGCAACTAATGGCATATAGTTGGATCTATACATCTTGACATTAGTCTACTTTTGAGGTCTGAAAACATCTGACTTTCATTTATGAGTGAACCCTAAGCGTTACCCAACGCTTAGGGTTACCTGAACTGTACTCATATCCTTCCATATCCTTTTCTGTACATAATGCCCTGAATCTTTTCTACAACGCCCGGAGAACTGCCCCCTTTATTCTATGTACCCAACGCACTAGAAGACCAGTTCTTAAAGCCTTTAGTCGTATCCTTATTCTAGTCCTCCTCTGTTCCTCTGGTGATGTAGAGGCTAACCCAGGCCCTGCAGCCCCCAGTATCACTCCTACTCCCCAGGAGCTATCATTTGTTGACTTCTGTAACCGTAAAAGTCTTGGTTTTCTGCACATAAATATCAGAAGCCTCCTTCCTAAGTTTGAGTTATTCACTGCGTTAGCACACTCCGCCAACCCTGATGTTCTAGCAGTGTCTGAATCCTGGCTTAGGAAGGCCACCAAAAATTCTGAAATTTCCATCCCCAACTATAACATTTTCCGTCTAGATAGAACTGCCAAAGGGGGTGGAGTTGCAATCTACTGTAGAGATAGCCTGCAGAGCTCCATCATACTATCCAGGTCTGTGCCCAAACAGTTTGAGCTTCTACTTCTAAAAATCCACCTTTCCAGAAATAAATCTCTCACTGTTGCCGCTTGCTACAGACCCCCCTCAGCCCCCAGCTGTGCCCTGGACACCATATGTGAATTGATCGCCCCCCATCTATCCTCAGAATTCGTACTGCTTGGTGACCTAAATTGGGATATGCTTAACACCCCGGCCATCCTACAATCTAAACTAGATGCCCTCAATCTCACACAAATTATCAACGAACCTACCAGGTACAACCCTAAATCCGTAAACATGGGTACCCTCATAGATATCATCCTGACTAACTTACCCTCTAAATACACCTCCGCTGTCTTCAACCAGGATCTCAGCGATCACTGCCTTATTGCCTGCGTCCGTAACGGGTCCGCTGTCAAACGACCACCCCTCATCACTGTCAAACGCTCCCAAAAACACTTCAGCGAGCAGGCCTTCCTAATTGACCTGGCCCAGGTATCCTGGATGGATATAGATCTCATTCCGTCAGTAGAGGATGCCTGGTTGTTCTTTAAAAGTAATTTCCTCTCAATCTTAAATAGACATGCCCCATTCAAGAAATACAGAACTAAGAACAGATATAGCCCCTGGTTCTCCTCAGACTTGACTGCCCTTGACCAGCACAAAAACATCCTGTGGCGTACTGCATTAGCATCAAATAGCCCCCGCGATATGCAACTTTTCAGGGAAGTTAGGAACCGATATACACAAGCAGTTAGGAAAGCAAAGGCTAACTTTTTCAAACAGAAATTTGCATCCTGTAGCACTAACTCCAAAAAGTTTTGGGACACTGTAAAGTCCATGGAAAATAAGAGCACTTCCTCCCAGCTGCCCACTGCACTGAGGCTAGGAAACACTATCACCACCGATAAATCTACAATAATCGAGAATTTCAACAAGCATTTTGCTACGGCTGGCCATGCTTTCCACCTGGCTACCACTACCCCGGCCACCAGCTCTGCACCCTCCGCTGCAACTTACCCATGCCCCCCCCCGCTTCTCCTTCACACAAATCCAGACAGCTGATGTTCTAAAAGAGCTGCAAAATCTGGACCCCTACAAATCATCTGGGCTAGACAATCTGGACCCTTTCTTTCTAAAACTAGCCGCCGAAATTGTCGCAACCCCTATTACTAGCCTGTTCAACCTCTCTTTCGTAACGTCTGAGATCCCCAGAGATTGGAAAGCTGCCGCGGTCATCCCCCTCTTCAAAGGGGGTGACACTCTAGATCCAAACTGTTACAGACCCATATCCATCCTGCCCTGCCTTTCAAAAGTTTTTGAAAGCCAAGTCAACAAACAGATCACCGACCATTTCGAATCCCACCGTACCTTCTCCGCTATGCAATCCGGTTTCCGAGCTGGTCATGGGTGCACTTCAGCCACGCTCAAGGTCCTAAACGATATTATAACCGCGATCGATAATAGACAGTACTGTGCAGCCGTTTTCATTGACCTGGCCAAGGCTTTCGACTCTGTCAACCACCGCATTCTTATTGGCAGACTAAATAGCCTTGGTTTCTCAAATGACTGCCTCGCCTGGTTCACCAACTACTTCTCAGATAGAGTTCAATGTGTCAAATCGGAGGGCCTGTTGTCTGGACCTATGGCAGTCTCTATGGGGGTGCCACAGGGTTCAATTCTTGGGCCAACTCTTTTCTCTGTGTATATCAATGACGTCGCTCTTGCTGCTGGTGACTCTCAGATCCACCTCTACGCAGACGACACCATTTTGTATACATCTGGCCCTTCATTGGACACTGTGTTAACAAACCTCCAAACGAGCTTCAATTCCATACAACACTCCTTCAGTAGCCTCCAACTGCTCTTAAACACTAGTAAAACTAAATGCATGCTCTTCAACCGAACGCTGCTTGCACCCGCCCACCCGACTAGAATCACTACTCTAGACGGGTCTGACCTAGAGTATGTGGACAACTACAAATATCTAGGTGTCTGGTTAGACTGTAAACTCTCCTTCCAGACTCACATTAAGAATCTCCAATCCAAAGTTAAATCTAGAATCGGTTTCCTATTTCGCAACAAAGCCTCCTTCACTCATGCTGCCAAACATGCCCTCGTAAAACTGACTATCCTACCGATCCTTGACTTCGGCGATGTCATTTACAAAATAGCCTCCAACACTCTACTCAGCAAATTGGATGTTGTCTATCACAGTGCCATCCGTTTTGTCTCCAAAGCCCCATATAATACCCACCACTGTGACCTGTACGCTCTTGTTGGCTGGTCCTCACTACATATTCGTCGCCAAACCCACTGGCTCCAGGCCATCTATAAATCACTGCTAGGCAAATCCCCGCCTTATCTTAGCTCATTGGTCACCATAGCAACACCCACCCGTAGTCTGCGCTCCAGCGGGTATATCTCACTGGTCATCCCCAAAGCCAACACCTCCTTTGGCCGCAATTCCTTCCAGTTCTCTGCTGCCAATGACTGGAACAAATTGCAAAAATCTCTGAAGCTGGAGACACTTATCTCCCTCACTAACTTTAAGCATCAGTTGTCAGAGCACCTTACCGATCACTGCACCTGTACACAGCCCATCTGAAATTAGCCCGCCCAACTACCTCATCCCTATATTGTTATTTATTTTGCTCATTTGTACCCCAGTATCTCTATTTGCACATCATCTCTTGCACATCATTCCAGTGTTAATACTAAATTGTAATTATTTTGCACTATAGCCTATTTTATTGCCTTACCTCCATAACTTGCTAAATTTGCACACACTGTATATATATGTATTTCTGTTGTATTTTTGACTTTGTTTTGTTTTACCCCATATGTAACTCTGTGTTGTTGTTTTTTTATCGCACTGCTTTGCTTTATCTTGGCCAGGTCGCAGTTGTAAATGAGAACTTGTTCTCAACTGGTTTACCTGGTTAAATAAAGGTGAAATAAAAAATAAAAAAAAATAAAAAAAATGTCCTTTAAGTCAAGTAGGGTTGCGGAACAATGCAGTAACACAGAATTTCTGAGGTAAAACAGTCACACAAATTGTTGGCACACCATTGTCTTACCATTATGACAGCTGTACATCCATATACGGTGGCCGTCGTATCTACATCTGCACTTCATGAAGTTGTTGGAGTAGTCCGACTCAGGCACCTCATAGTTAGGGTTAATAACAACCTGTTGGAGAGAGCAAAATGCTGTGAATCATTATCCAACACAAAGAATGAAAATTAACATTGATAATCATAGTTAGGGTTAGGGTTGTATTTTTTGCTCAGTTGAATGAGAAAACTCTATATGTATTTGACATTTGTCCAATAATTTCATTCATTCATTCACTTCATCATACCTCAATCGATAACATTGGATAATAGTGTAGAGGAATGACCTTGGTTGCATCCCTAATGGCACTACTTTTGACCAGAGCCTTATAGGCCCTGGGATATATAGGGAATAGGGTGCCATTTGGGATGCACACCTTCACTGGAAAGACCTTACGTAACCAGAAAAGTAACTTACCTGGAATATGTAATCTCCGGGCTTGATGTCTGTGATGTCAATCCACTGGCAGTCAATATCATGCCTGTATATATCCCAGCAGCCAACAGTGATGCCTTGCTCTCCAAAGTTGGCACACTCGTATCTTTTCTCAATACCTGTCAAGATGACCATAAATCAAAGACAATCATGTGAGTACATGCATTGGCATGCAGTTTTTTGTGAGTGAAAGAGCAAGTTGGGCTATTGATCAGGCTGTATTACATTCTGCAAGGAGTGAGGAACACTAGGTAGACAATATAATATACGTAGCTAGTCTGTCTGTGTCCCAAATGGCACCCTATTCATTATATAGTGGACTACTTTTGACCAGGGTCTTATGGGGCTCTGGTCAAAAGTAGTGCACTATGTAAGGGATAGGGTGCCATTTGGGACACAGCCTTTGTTTCTCTAGGCTCTTACCCTCTTCACAGTCAGTGTCTTCCAGACAGAAGCTGGCCTTGTGTCCCTCTGCCACCTTGGTGCCATTGAGGCTGAGCAGGTCATAGTGGGTGAATACCTCCATGCTGTGGTAGTGCCTGGGCACAGAGAGAAAGAGAGACACTTCATTTATAAATAGACCTGCCATCTACTGTAGAGTCTATTATTTACTCTCTGAAGCAGATATGTTTTTATACAAGAGCTAGAGAGACTGTTGAAACACATGGCACCAAGGCAGACACAAAGAAACCCAAAATAAACATTTGCTTTCAAAATTGTATATGTTTAGCGATTCAGATTATATGCATAATCCCACAGGCACTGAGGGTTTTATTTGTGTAGAGCTGGTGACTGTGTGAAGCTGCCAACATTGCACAGTTCACCCAATGCCTTGACAGAAAGCATCTGAGACGTTTCAGTCCGTGGTCAATTACAGGGCAGAGAACGTATAGAAATGGAAAATGGCTCAAGAACCGAGTTATCTAGGGAGTTCAGTATAACGTTCCCTTAATGTCTGTCTCTTATAAAAAACCAACGGACCATGCGCGTCTTCTGATTGTTACTTCATAACAGCGCTAAAATAGGTAGTCCTGGTGACCCACACAACTATGAGGTAAAATACACTCAGTGGCCAGTTTATTAGGTTCACCACCCCGTTCACGAAAATGGATCGCTCTTACAGACAGTGAGTCATGTGGCCGTGGCTTAATTTATAAAGCAGGCAGACAGGCATTCTGTTACTGTTTGATTGAACGGGCAAAACGAGTGACCTAAGTGACTTTGAGAGTGGTATGATCATCGGTGCCAGGCGCGCCAGATCCAGTATCTCAGAAACGGCCGCCCTCCTAGGCTTTTCATGCACGACAGTGTCTAGGGTTTACCGCGAATGGTGCAACAAACAAAAAACATCCAGTCAGCGGCAGTCCTGTGGGCGAAAACAGCTCGTTGCATGAGAGAGGTCGAGGGAGAATGGCAACAATCGTGCAAGCTAACAGGTGGGCCGCAAACAGACAAATAACAGCGCAGTACAACAGTGGTGTGCAGAACGGCATCTCGGAACGCACAACCTGTCGATGCTTGTCACGGATGGGCTATTAAAGCAGATGACCACACCGGCTAAAAACAAGAAGCGTCTCCAGTTGGCAAGTGATCACCAACACTTGACAATTGGTGAGTGGAAAAACATTGCCTGGTCTGACGAATCGCGGTTCCTGTTGAGTCAGAATTTGGTGTAAGCAGCATGAGTCCATGGCCACTGAGTGTCTATCACCATATTAAACAAAGAATAAACAAGGCATATCTTTCAATTTCACAAACAAACAAGAAGAGTCATGGAGCTACTTGCCTATGGCAGTCATGCCACACCCAGGAGTGGCGTCCAGCCTTGGGTCTGAAGTCTGACTGTCCATTGTTGTGGATCTGGGAGGAGAAGCGCAGTAGGCGGCGGTAGGAGTTGGCAGGGGTCTTGCTGGAGGTGGTGGATAGGCAGTTCTCTTCATAAGCACACTGCAGCATGAACATGGGCCTGTCTTCCATATAGGTGGTCTGCTCCACTACCTGGGGGTTCAGGACCAGGTCAGGGGCCGCTGAGGGAGAAAGCAATGAGGGAAGAGGGAAAGAGAGAGTGGTTAAAAATGTGAGCATACTTCATCATTACAATGTTACAGGTCTGCACTCAAGAATGAGATTGAAGGATGCTTATAATAGTTATTATGTTATAAGAGGCCAGGACAGACAAATACATGTTTTGGTGTTCAACCATTATTATCAGCAATCAATGCAAGGCATCTAGTACTGGTAGACTACTGTTAGGGAAAGATGCATGGCATCTAAGACTGGTAGACTTTTTTAGGGAAAGCTGCATGGCATCTAGTACTGGTAGACTACTGTGAGGGAAAGCTGCATGGCATCTAGAACTGGTAGACTACTGTGAGGGAAAGCTGCATGGCATCTAGTACTGGTAGACTATTATGAGGGAAAGCTGCATGGTATCTAGTACTGGTAGACTACTGTTAGGGAAAGCTGCATGGCATCTAGTACTGGTAGACTACTGTTAGGGAAAGCTGCATGGTATCTAGAACTGGTAGACTACCGTTAGGGAAAGTTGCATGGCATCTAGGACTGGTACACTGCTATTAGGGAAAGCTGCATGGCATCTAGTACTGGTAGACTACTGTTAGGGAAAGCTGCAAGGCATCTAGAACTGGTAGACTACTGTGAGGGAAAGCTGCATGGCATCTAGAACAGGTAGACTACTGTTAGGGAAAGCTGCATGGCATCTAGGACAGGTAGACTTATGAGGGAAAGCTGCAAGGCATCTAGAACTGGTAGACTACTGTTAGGGAAAGCTGCTGTTTCCATTGATCATCCTTGAGATGTTTCTACAACTTGATTGGAGTCCACCTGTGGTAAATTCAATTGATTGGACATGATTTGGAAAGGCACACACCTGTCTATATAAGGTCCCACAGTTGACAGTGCATGTCAGAGCATGTTGCATGGCATCTAGGACTGGTAGACTGCTGTTAGGGAAAGCTGCATGGCATCTAGTACTGGTAGACTACTGTTAGGGAAAGCTGCAAGTCATCTAGAGCTGGTAGACTATTATGAGGGAAAGCTTCAAGGCATCTAGAACTGGTAGACTACTGTTAGGGAAAGCTGCATGGCATCTAGAACTGGTAGACTACTGTGAGGGAAAGCTGCATGGCATCTAGAACAAGTAGACTACTGTTAGGGAAAGCTGCATGGCATCTAGAACTGGTAGACTACTGTGAGGGAAAGCTGCAAGGCATCTAGGACTGGTAGACTACTGTTAGGGAAAGATGCATGGCATCTAGGACTGGTAGACTTATGAGGGAAAGCTGCAAGGCATCTAGAACTGGTAGACTACTGTTAGGGAAAGCTGCATGGCATTTAGAACTGGTAGACTACTGTGAGGGAAAGCTGCATGGCATCTAGAACAGGTAGACTACTGTTAGGGAAAGCTGCATGGCATCTAGAACTGGTAGACTACTGTGAGGGAAAGCTGCAAGGCATCTAGGACTGGTAGACTACTGTTAGGGAAAGCTGCATGGCATCTAGGACTGGTAGACTTATGAGGGAAAGCTGCAAGGCATCTAGAACTGGTAGACTACTGTTAGGGAAAGCTGCATGGCATCTAGAACTGGTAGACTACTGTTAGAGAAAGCTGCATGGCATCTAGAACTGGTAGACTACTGTTAGAGAAAGCTGCATGGCATCTAGGACTGGTAGACTTATGAGGGAAAGCTGCAAGGCATCTAGAACTGGTAGACTACTGTTAGGGAAAGCTGCATGGCATCTAGGACTGGTAGACTACTGTGAGGGAAAGCTGCATGGCATCCTGAACTGGTAGACTACTGTTAGGGAAAGCTGCATGGCATCTAGTACTGGTAGACTACTGTGAGGGAAAGCTGCATGGCATCTAGAACTGGTAGACTACTGTTAGGGAAAGCTGCATGGCGTCTTCGACTGGTAGATTTATGAGGGAAAGCTGCAAGGCATCTAGAACTGGTAGACTACTGTTAGGGAAAGGTGCAAGGCATCTAGAACTGGTAGACTACTGTTAGGGAAAGCTGCATGGCATCTAGGACTGGTAGACTACTGTGAGGGAAAGCTGCATGGCATCTAGGACTAGTAGACTACTGTTAGGGAAAGCTGCATGGCATCTAGGACTGGTGGACTTATGAGGGAAAGCTGCAAGGCATCTAGAACTGGTAGACTACTGTTAGGGAACGCTGCATGGCATCTAGTACTGGTAGACTACTGTGAGGGAAAGCTGCATGGCATCTAGTACTGGTAGACTACTGTTAGGGAAAGCTGCATGGCATCTAGGACTGGTAGGCTATTATGAGGGAAAGCTGCAAGGCATCTAGAACTGGTAGACTACTGTGAGGGAAAGCTGCATGGCATCTAGAACTGGTAGACTACTGTGAGGGAGAGCTGCATGGCATCTTGTACTGGTAGACTACTGTTAGGGAAAGCTGCATGGCATCTAGGACTGGTAGGCTATTATGAGGGAAAGCTGCAAGGCATCTAGAACTGGTAGACTACTGTGAGGGAAAGGCAATAGGAGTGCTCTTACGCAGCATGAATGAGGTTTTGGCCACACCACATCCAAAGCTAATTATAAAGATGGTGTAAACAGAAAAGTAGCAAATCTGATGTTGAAGAAAGGTAGATGTTACTTCACTTATTTTGTTAGCGTAAAAAGGCCCTTACTCTCTGAGCAGGAGACTCCGGCAGCGTTGCGTCCTCCTCCTTTAGGACAGCTGAGGTGAGCTCCGTGGTGCAGGCAGTGGGATAAGGACATCTCCGTGCCAGAACATCTCACCCCACTCATCACCACATGGTCAGCACTCACCTCTCCTGGCCAGTACCACGTCTCCTACAGGACAGGGACACAACATGACAGAGGTCAGGGATGGGTTTTATCAGACAGAGCATTTGCTGAATTTGTCATAGGTTATGTGTTTGCTATGCTATTATATTATTATATTTTATTATTATAATATAGTGCATTTGAAAAGTATTCAGACCCATTGACTTTTTCCACATTTTAATACGTTACAGCCTTATTGTAAAATTAATTAAATTATATGTTTTTCTCATTAATCTACACACAATACCACATAATGAAAGTGAAAACAGTTTTTTTGTTTTTTTTTGCAAATGTATAAAAAATTTAAAACAGAAATACCCACATGACGCCATACAAAAATAAAAAACAGAAATACCTTATTTACATAAGTATTCAGACCCTTTGCTGTGAGACTCGAAATTAAGCTCAGGTGCATCCTGTTTCCATTGATCATCCTTGAGATGTTTCTACAACTTGATTGGAGTCCACCTGTGGTAAATTCAATTGATTGGACATGATTTGGAAAGGCACACACCTGTCTATATAAGGTCCCACAGTTGATAGTGCATGTCAGAGCAAAAACCAAGACATGAGGTTGAAGGAATTGTCCGTAGAGCTCCGAGACAGGATTGTGTCGAGGAACAGATCTGGGGAAGGGTACCAAACCAACCTTCCAGAAGGACAACCATCTCTGCAGCACTGCACCAGTCAAGCCTTCATGGTAGAGTGGCCAGACAAAAGCCATTCCTCAGTAAAATGCACATGACAGCCCGCTTGGAGTTTGTCAAAAGGCAACTAAAGGACTCTCAGACCAAGATTCTCTGGTCTGATGAAACCAAGATTGAACTCTTTGGCCTGAATGCTGAGCGTTACGTCTGGAAGAAACCTGGCACCATCCCTACGGTGAACATCATGCTGTGGGGATGTTTTTCAGCGGAGGCAAAGATCAGGCAAAGATGAACGGAGTAAAGTACAGAGAGATCCTTGATGAAAACCTGCTCGAGAGCGCTCAGGACCTCAGACTGGGGCAAAGGTTCACCTTCCAACAGGACAACGACCCTAAGCACACAGCCAAGACAACCCAGGAGTGGCTTCGGGACAAGTCTCTGAATGTCCTTGAGTGGCCCTGCCAGAGCCCGGACTTGAACCCGATCGAACATCACTGGAGAGACCTGAAAATAGTTGTGCAGCGAAGCTCCCCATCCAACCTGACAGAGCTCGAGAGGATCTGCAGAGAAGAATGGGAGAAACTCCCCAAATACAGGTGTGCCAAGCCTGTAGCGTCATACCCAAGAAGACTCAAGGCTGTAATCACTGCCAAAGGTGCTTCAACAAACAAAGTAATGAGTAAAGGGTCTGAATGCTTATGTAAATGTTTTTTTTTTTTTTTTTGTGCAAAATCTTCAAAAAAAAACGTTTTTTTTGCTTTGTCATTATTGGGTATTGTGTGTAGATTGATGGGGCAGCATGTTCATTATCTCTAGCTGTATTTAGTAGTGTCACTATTACTTGCTTTTGTCCCTCAGACAGAGGCGTCATGCCCATCGTGGGCACAGATTTGTCCAGTTTAATTTCTACTGTTTATTTATTTATATATACACTGAGTGTACAAAACATTAAGGACACCTGCTCTTTCCATGACATAGATTGACCAGGTGAATCCAGGTGAAAGCTATGATCCCTTATACACTGAACAGAAAATATACATACGCACAAAAATATTATTTCTCTCAAATTTTGTGCACAAATTTGTTTACATCCCTGTTAGTGAGCATTTCTCCTTTGCCAAGATAATCCATCCACCTGACAGGTGTGGCATATCAAGAAGCTGATTAAACAGCATGTCATTACACAGGTGCACCTTGTGCTGGGGACAATAAAAGACCACTCTAAAATGTGCAGTTTTGTCACACAACACAATGCCACAGATGTCTCAAGTTTCGAAGGAGCGTGCAATTGGCATGTTGACTGCAGGAATGTCCACCAGAGCTGTTGCCAGATAATTGAATGTTCATTTCTCTACCATAAACCGCCTCCAATGTCGTTTCAGAGAATTTGGCAGTACGTCTAATCGGCTTCACAACCGCAGACCACGTGTATGGCGTCATGTGGGTGAGCGGTTTACTGATGTCAACGTTGTGAACAGAGTGCCCCATGGTGGCGGTGGGGTTATGGTATGGGCAGGCATAAGCTACGGACAACGAACACAATTGCATTTTAATCTACGGCAATTTTAATGCACAGAGATACTGTGATGAGATCCTGAGGCCCATTGTGAGGCCCATATTTTTAAAGGTATCTGTGACCAACAGACGCATATCTGTATTCCCAGTCATGTAAAATCAATAGATTAGGGCCTAATGAATTTATTTAAATTGACTAGATTTCCTTATATGAACTGTAAATCAGTAAAATATTTGAAATTGCTGTATGTTGCATTTATATAGTTTTTCAGTGTATATTTTTGTTCAGTAACACACACACACACACACACACATACACACACACACAGTGGCTTGCGAAAGTATTCACCCCCCTTGGCATTTTTCCTATTTTGTTGCCTTACAACCTGGAATTAAAATGGATTTTTAGGGGGGTTGTGTCATTTGATTTACACAACAAATCTACCACTTTGAAGATGCAAAATATGTTTTATTGTGAAACAAACAAAAAAAAACATACAACTTGAGCGTGCATAACTATTCACCCCCCCAAACTCAATACTTTTAGAGCCACCTTTTGCAGCAATTACAGCTGCAAGTCTCTTGGGGTATGTCTCTATAAGCTTGGCACATCTAGCCCCTGGGATTTTTGCCCATTCTTCAAGGCAAAACTGCTCCAGCTCCTTCAAGTTGGATGGGTTCCGCTGGTGTACAGCAATCTTTAAGTCATACCACAGATTCTCAATTGGATTGAGGTCTGGGCTTTGACTAGGCCATTCCAAGACATTGAAATGTTTCCCCTTAAACCACTCGAGTGTTGCTTTAGCAGTATGCTTAGGGTCATTGTCCCGCTGGAAGGTGAACCTCTGTTCCAGTCTCAAATCTCTGGAAGACTGAAACAGGTTTCCCTCTAGAATTTCCCTGTATTTAGCGCCATCCATCATTCCTTCAATTCTGACCAGTTTCCCATTCCCTGCCGATGGTGTTCTCGGGGTGATGAGAGGTGTTGGGTTTGCGCCAGACATAGCGTTTTCCTTGATGGCCAAAAAGCTCAATTTTAGTCTCATCTGACCAGTGTACCTTCTTCCATATGTTTGGGGAGTCTCCCACATGCCTTTTGGTGTACACCAAACGTGTTTGCTTATTTTTTTCTTTAAGCAATGGCTTTTTTCTGGCCACTCTTCCATAAAGCCAAGCTCTGTGGAGTGTACGGCTTAAAGTGGTCCTATGGACAGATACTCCAATCTCCACTGTGGAGCTTTGCAGCTCCTTCAGGGTTATCTTTGGTCTCTTTGTTGCCTCTCTGATTAATGCCCTCCTTGCCTGATCCGTGAGTTTTGGTGGGCGGCCCTCTCTTGGCAGGTTTGTGCCATATTCTTTCAATTTTTTTATAATGGATTTAATGGTGCTCCATGGGATGTTCAACGTTTCAGATTTTTTTTAGAACCCAACCCTGACCTGTACTTCTCCACAACTTTGTCCCTGACCTGTTTGGAGAGCTCATTGGTCTACATGGTGCCGCTTGCTTGGTGGTGCCCCTTGCTTAGTGGTGTTGCAGACTCTGGGGCCTTTCAGAACAGGTGTATATATACTGAGATCATGTGACAGTTCATGTGACACTTAGATTGCACACAAGTGGACTTTATTTAACTAATTATGTGACTTCTGAAGGTAATTGGTTGCACCAGATCTTATTTAGGGGATTCAGAGCAAAGGGGTGAATACATATGCACGCACCACTTTTCCGTTATTTATTTTTTAGCATTTTTTGAAACAAGTTATTTTTTTCATTTCACTTCACCAATTTTGACTATTTTGTGTATGTCCATTACATGAAATCCAAATAAAAATCCTTTTAAATTACAGATTGTAATGCTACAAAATACGAAAAACGCCAAGGGGGAAGAATACTTTTGCAAGGCACTGTATATAGACAGTACCAGTCAAAAGTTTGGACACACCTACTCATTCAAGGGTTTTTCTTTAGTTTTACTATTTTCTACATTGTAGAATAATAGTGAAGACATCACAACTATGAAATAACACATATGGAATCATGTAGTAACCAAGGAAGTGTTAAACATATCAAAATATATTTTATATTTGAGATTCTTCAAATAGCCACCCTTTGCCTTGATGACAGCTTTGCACACTCTTGGCATTCTCTCAACTAGCTTCACCTGGAATGCTTTTCCAACAGTCTTGAAGGAGTTCCCACATATGCTGAGCACTTGTTGGCTGTTTTTCCTTCACTCTGCTGTCCGATTCATCCCAAACCATCTCAATTGGGTTGAGGTCGGGGGATTGTGGAGGCCAGGTCATCTGATGCAGCACTCCATCACTCTCCTTCTTGGTCAAATAGCCCTTACATAGCCTGGAGGTGTGTTGGGTCATTGTCCTGTTGAAAAACAAATGAGAGTCCCACTAAGCCCAAATCAGATGTGATGGCGTATCGCAGCAGAATGCTGTGGTAGCCATGCTGGTTAAGTGTGCCTTGAATTCTAAATAAATCACAGACAGTGTCACCAGCAAAGCACCCCCACACCATAACACCTCCTCCGCCATGCTTTACGGTGGGAACTACACATGCGGAGATCATCTGTTCACCAACACCGCGTCTCACAAAGACACGGCGGTTTGAACCAAAAATCTCAAATTTGTACTCCAGATCTAAGGACAAATTTCCACCGGTCTAATGTCCATTGCTTGTGTTTCTTGGCCCAAGCAGGTCTCTTCTTATTATTGGTGTCCTTTAGTAGTGGTTTCTTTGCAGAAATTCAACCATGTAGGCCTGATTAACACAGTCCCCTCTGAGCAGCTGATGTTGCGATGTGTCTGTGACTTGAACTCTGTGAAGCATCTATTTGGGCTGCAATTTCTGAGGCTGGTAACTCTAATTAACTTATCCTCTGCAGCAGAGGTAACTCTGGGTCTTCCATTCCTGTGGCGGTCCTGATGAGAGCCCGTTAGTGATGGTTTTTCAAATCAAATCAAATTTTATTTTAAACATGCGCCGAATACAACTGGTGTAGACATTACATTGAAATGCTTACTTACAAGCCCTTAACCAACAATGCAATTTTTTAAGAATTTAAAATAAAAAAAGTGTTAAGTAAAAAATAATAAAAGCAAACAACTAAAGAGCAGCAGTAAAATAAAATAACAGTAGGGAGGCTATATAAAGGGGGGTACCGGTGCAGAGTCAATGTGCGGGGGCACCGGCTAGTCGAGGTAATTGAGGTAATATGTACATGTGGGTAGAGTTAAAGTGACTATGCATAAATAATAGACAGAGTAGCAGCAGCGTAAAAGAGGGGGGTGGGGGGGCAGTGCAAATAGTCCGGGTAGCCATGATTAGCTGTTCAGGAGTCTTATGGCTTGGGGGTAGAAGCTGTTGAGAAGCCTTTTGGACCTAGACTTGGCGCTCCGGTACCGCTTGCCGTGCGATAGCAGAGAGAACAGTCTATGACTAGGGTGGCTGGAGTCTTTGACAATTTTGAGGGCCTTCCTCTGACACCGTCTGGTATAGAGGTCCTGGATTGTAGGAAGCTTGGCACCAGTGATGTACTGGGCCGTACGCACTACCCTCTGTAGTACCTTGCGGTCGGAGGCCGAGCAGTTGCCATACCAGGCGGTGATGCAAGCAGTCAGGATGCTCTCGATGGTGCAGCTGTATAACTTGTTGAGGATCTGAGGACCCATGCCAAATCTTTTGAGTCTCCTGAGGGGGAATAGGCTTTGTCATGCCCTCTTCACGACTGTTTTGGTGTGTTTGGACCATGATAGTTTGTTGGTGATGTGGACACCAAGGAACTTGAAGCTCTCAACCTGTTCCACTACAGCCCCGTCGATGAGAATGGGGGCATGCTCAGTCCTCTTTTTTTTCCTGTAGTCCACAATCAATTCCTTTGTCTTGATCACGTTGAGGGAGAGGTTGTTATCCTGCCACCACACGGCCAGGTCTCGGACCTCCTCCCTATAGGCTGTCTCATCGTTGTCGGTGATCAGGCCTACCACTGTTGTGTCGTCAGCAAACTTAATGATGGTGTTGGAGTCGTGCCTGGCCATGCAGTCATGGGTGAACAGGAAGTACAGGAGGGGACTGAGCACGCTCCCCTGAGGGGCCCCCGTGTTGAGGATTAGCGTGGCAGATGTGTTGTTACCTACCCTTTTGCGACTGCACTTGAAGAAATGTTAAAAGTTATTGAAATGTTCAGTATTGACTGACCTTCATGTCTTAAAGTAATGATGGACTGTTGTTTCTCTTTCCTTATTTGAGCTGTTCTTGCCATAATATGGACTTGGTCTTTTACCAAATAGGGCTATCTTCTGTATACGCCCCCTTATTTGTCACAACACAACTGATTGGCTCAAACGCATTAAGAAGGAAAGAAATTCCATAAAGAAATTCCACAAATAAGGCACACCTGTTAATTGAAATGTATTCCAGGTGACTACCTCATGATGCTGGTTGAGTGTGCAAAGCGTCATCAAGAGTGTGCAAAGCTGTCATCAAGGCAAAGGGTGGCTATTTGAAGAATCTCAAATATAAAATATATTTTGATTGATTTAACACTTGTTTGGTTACTACATGATTCCATATGTGTTATTTCATAGTTTTGATGTCTTCACTATTATTCTACAATGTAAATAATAGTACAAATAAAGAAAAACCCTTGTATAGGTAGGTTCCCAATGGGGTAGTAATGTCACTATTAGTAGTGTCACTATTGACACTCCTACCTCATAACTAGCTACCAAGAAGCCATTTCAGACTATCATCAAGTTGAGTAGCTAGCTTGTCTAACTATCTTAGCTGCCATGCCTGCTGACAAGGTTGGTAGACTTTAGAAAAGCAAGCAATAACTAAATGTTCTGAATAAGACTCACATTCCTTTCAATCTTTTTCCCAGAGGCATAGAATCATATTTGGTTTCTTTAATAATAATTTAAAAAAACACCAGTCAGGAGGATACAAACAGCTCAAGAGGTATTCTTAGATATGCAGAAAAATATACATATGGAATTAAGCATAATGATTATAGCTCTAAAGTGCAGGATAAAGCTGTTTCAGGTGTTTGAAAAATGCTAAATTCTGGGTGCATGACGCCCCTGCCCTCAGATATCCCTGTAGCGTAACCATCACAAATATTAAACAAGCTACAGAATATGAAATAGATCAGCTTTAAATGTATTCATATTAAGCTGTTTTATTATGTTGTTATTCAGGAGTGACAGTAGTCATTCCTCTGCCTCAAGGTAAACCAGATAGCCTACAATAACACATTATCCCTACATTGCAATTTCCACTCATAAATCTCTGGTCTACAAGCAACATCATTTCTACTATTCCAAGGTTAACAGATATTTTCAAAACCCACTATTACTGTTATCAAACAGTCTTGTAAAATCCATTTGATACAACAAATACTGTTCTGTCTGACAGGAAGGTCTCCTTACTGCTTTGCAGGTGCAAACAGTTAAGAGTTTACAGTCCTACATCACCAGAGGAGGTACTGTATTTGTCACCCCTGGCAACTACAGACACACACACACACAAACACACTTAGATTTACACTGACTGAAGGCCCTAATTTGGGAAAGCTCTAATTTGGAATGGCAGTGATGTCAAAAAGACCAGGGAAAAGTTTAGACTCACAACATTCATCAATATTACCTCCTTGACGATTATAGTTGTTGGTACACAGAATTTTTTAAATTCCAAAATCGAATACCTACCAAACTACTAAAAAAACACTTTTCACAGAGTGAAGACCCACATTTCAAGATCTTCCCAGTCTGATGTGACTCTGCTCAGAGCAGTCAGTACAGTTTGTGAGGTTGGAGGTGTCAATAAAACATCAAGGCGCTAAGGAACATCATTAAAGGATCAATGATTCCTCTTATTACACCAGACTATAACGAACAACACGGGAACGTTTTGCACTTAATCAAAGCAGATTTTTATTTGATTCTGTGTCTGGTCGGTAGTTGTGTGATCTTATTTTGACACACAGCTCTGTAACTAACCCTTCTAAGAACAGTAATCTTATCTACCCTCTGCCTGTAACACTCCATGATACTTCAACCCTGAATTACCACTTCCACCTCTGTTACGTCAGTCTAGAATAGGATAGAAACACAGAAACCTTTTTTCCTTTAGGGCCCAAACTTTTACGCACTGTAAACAGCAGTCATTGTTTTGCCTGCTACAACCTGTATGTCTGTAGACCATACACGTAAGAGAGAGGCCTCCTCTTCCATCCATTAATTAAATATGAATGTGTAACTGTACTGTAATGCTGCTGAGAGACCTGTTGCATGTTTGGACAAGTCGTCAAAATATGAATTTGTTCTTAATTGACTTACCTGTATAAATAAAGGTTAAATAAAATAAATGTTTCTCACCTGGAAGGCATTACTGGCGAAGCCCAGGCCCAGCTGTCTGCACACCACCATGGCCTCCATGGTTCCCCAGCCATCACTGCACACCGTGCCCCACACCAAGGAGCCGTTCCTCTCCACCAGCGCCTCCACGCGCCCCTCATACGGGTTACGCCCCCCACTCAGACGCAGCTGCACAGAGACAGACACACCACGGGAGAGATCTTTAGCTACTATCACACAGATAGCAATAGGAATACTATAGGATTCTACATCATTATTCATCAACGGATGACCTTGAGATGAAGAAGAAGGTATGTTTATAGTTGATGGTTTATGGTTTATCAAGTTGAGCCCTCACCCTCTCCTGGAAGCCCATGGCTGGAACGTTACACGTGATGGCTGCATCTTCCTCATGGCTACAGCCCAAAGACTCCTTGTTGAAGAAGCACTCTGTGATGGACTTCTCAAACCCAGAGCACTTCACCTCATTCATATGAACTGGGCCCATACCTGGGAAACACGAACAGAGGAAGAATATTGGTAAGAGCTGGGAAGAGTAGGGTTAGGTTGCATTTACAACACATTTATTACATTCTGTCTATTTACATTTGTCTGTCTGATTCATAATGGAGCATGTTAATAGGGAATAAATGGAACCGAAGCGAACCTAAGTCAGAGATTCGGTGTGTCAGTTCACAACCTCGTTACATTATGTTTCTGTGTTCCATGATAGAAGTTCTATCTGATCTGTGTCCTTTTGTGCCTTATTTTCCTGTAAGCCTTAGTTACAGGGACAGTGTTATTTTCTCCTTGACAGTAAATCATGTGGGAAAATGAGGATTTTTCCAAAAGGAACAACCAGTCCAGAATTCCCACTCATTGCGTCCCAAAAGGCACCCTATATAGAGCACTACTTTTGACCAGACACACAGGCTCTGGTCAAAAGTAGTGCACTATGTACGTAATAGGGTGCCATTTGAGACAGCCACTGTCTGCTGTTTCCATGTTCCATAATGTGCCATTATTCTGGAATTTACTACTCCTTTTCAGTCTCACGCCTGGGTGGACTAGCTTGCAGATGAAACGATTAATAGCTGTACCTATTCGGAAAACAGCAGTGTGCAATTCCTAGTTTTGACTAGATGTGAGTCAATTATACATATACGGAGGGGGATGGGGGGTGGCGTGGCGTGGCGGGGGGGGGGGGGTTAAACCCTCCATTTGGCTCTGCAGTAAAAGAAGAAACACCATGGTAACCAATATCCCCGCAGGTAACACTGAGTGAGAGGACATTTTACAGTCACACCCATAAACCAGAACTTATAGGAATGAACCCCATAATTAGGGAAACTGGTCAATAAGGTGCAGGTCCTCTTTTGGGCAGGGCCCATGTCCCTCAAGGGGAAGGCGAAGCCTTCCAAACTGATAAGGGAGTTGATACATTATGTACTCTTTAAGTATAGTATTTCTCTCCACTACAGCCTTTCAGTTACAGTACTGGAATATAGCAAGTATGGGCTTGCATCGTTCGTCTCACTGTGACTCTGGGCCTTTATTCAGAAAGCGTCAGAGTAGGAATGCTGATCTAGGAACAGGTCCCCCTTTTCCATGTTATCTTAGTCATTATGATCTAAAAGGCCAAACTGATCCTAGATCAGCACTCCTACTCTGTGAAGCTTTATGAATATATTACATTTCAATAACCCAGCCAGGTCTGGTCCTCCAGGGGAGTTCCTATTGTTCAAGTCAAGGTGAATTAGTGTGGGGCTTAAAGGATCCGCAAAGAAGGGATAGTATTACAGACTATGAGATATTTTGGACATGTTCCCTTTGTAACATTTGGTGAGCAGATGTAGCTCTACACTACACAATCGAGCTGTTCATGTTCATTTTTCTTTGTATTACAGGAATTCAAGTGGTTATCTCATATTGGTACTCAGGCTTTGTGCAGTTAGGCCCATGTTTCTTGATTGACTGTTGATTGATAATGGTGAAACAAACCCAATATTTCTCATACAACTGCTCTAAAAGAAGAGACCAGAAAAAACTGCTTGACCTCAGTCAGTCCGATTTTGATTACTTCTGTAATAAGAAATATGTGTCTTGTTAATCTATCCAAGGCCTTCTACATAGATTAAATATTCAAATAGTCAACTTCATCTTCAGCCAAGTCAACTGCGAGACTGACCAATATGTTGGCCTGCCCATGTAGTGTTGTGAATGGCACTGTTGTTGTTCTAATCCCTACCCTGTCCAAGCCGACCACCAGACAGGGCCTCCTTGGCACTCCCGAAGCCCAGCTCTCGACACACCACCGTGGCTGACAGCAGGCTCCAGTTATCATCACAGATTGTTCCCCACTCGCCGTTCTTCAGCACCTCCACACGACCTTCCCCTACGATGGCCCCACCTCGCAGACGCACCAATGGTTGCTGCAGGAACAAAAGAGAGATCAGATTCAGAGTAAGTCTGAGTTATTCGAACACCTTCCCCATTCCAAAAAAGGAAACTATAACCTATGTTTATTCCCAGTGAAAGAATCTTCTAAATAGGTATCTAAAAAATATCATAAAATGTGTACATATCCAAAAGCAGTAAGTATTTGGGTAAGTAAGTATTTGTTTGACGGCTAAATATTTCTTAGGTGAAACTGTGGTAGTTGAAGAGGGAAAGAGGTTTTAGAAAAGGGGAATGACACAATTTGAACCCAAGCAAGGACAGGAATGGCATTCTCAAATGCTAGCCCTGTTACTGTATATATTAGAAGTGCCAAAACAACTCTGGCATCACAGCAAAGTCTTCTTCTGCCGCAAGGCTTCTGCCTAAAAACTAGTTCAGTATTATAATACTTTACAGTATATAAAGAATAAAAAAAATTCTGTTCAGGAATGTGTGCTTGTAAAGTTGTTGTGAAATGTACTTAATGTGGATCAGGACAGCCCTGAGGGAGAGAGAGCTGAAGATGTGTAATGGACAATGGTTTGCATCCCAAATGGCAACCTATTCCCATTATAGTGCACTACTTTTGACCAGGGCTCAAAACACAGATGTGGAACTTGTCAGAGGCAGGCAGGCCTACACTATAGAAAAATAGAGGAGAGAGAAAGAGGAGAGAGCGGGGGTGAAATAGAGGAGAGAGAGATGGTGAAATAGAGGAGAGAGAGATGGTGAAATAAAGGAGGGAGAGAGAGAGAGAGCGAGAGGGTGAAATAGAGGGGAGAGAGAGAGAGAAATAGGGGAGAGAGAGAGACACAGATGTGGAACTTGTCAGAGGCAGGCAGGCCTACACTATAGAAAAATAGAGGAGAGAGAAAGAGGAGAGAGCGGGGGTGAAATAGAGGAGAGAGAGATGGTGAAATAGAGGAGAGAGAGATGGTGAAATAAAGGAGGGAGAGAGAGAGAGAGAGAGAGGGTGAAATAGAGGGGAGAGAGAGAGAGAAATAGGGGAGAGAGAGGGGGTGAAGTAGAGGAGGGAGAGAGAGAGCGAGAGGGTGAAATAGAGGGGAGAGAGAGAGAAATAGGGGAGAGAGAGGGTGCAATAGAGGAGAGAGCGAGAGAGGGTGAAATAGAGGAGAGAGAGGGTGAAATAAAGGAGGGAGAGAGGGTTAGATCACAGCCAGAGAAAATGTCTGTTAGCGTGGATTCCCACAAGATGTTTTCATGGACGAGCATGAAATATCTCCTTCCCACAGATCCTGAGTCCATGATGAATCACTTGACAGTAAACATTCAAAACTTGTTTAACAAAGCATTGAGTGTCAGAGTAACAGTAATGCATCTCAGAAAACCCCATTGTCTATCAATCTCCCATAGGATTCATCAGATCAGAGATAAAATAACCCACTCAGTTCGACAATATGTAGTTAAATTCCACAGCTATTTTCCGTACCTATGTTTTATTTGCCATAACCCAGCAGTGGCACAGCATACAGTGCCTTTCCACATTTTGTTACATTACAGCCTTATTCTAAAATGTATTAAATTGTTTTTTCCCCCCTCATCAATCTACACACAATACCCCATAATGACAAAGAAAAAACAGGTTTTTAGAATTGTTTGCTGTTTCATAAAAAAATGAAATATGACATTTACTCAGTACTTTGTTGAAGCACCTTTGTCAGCAATTACAGCCTTGAGTCTTCTTGTGTATGACGCTACAAGCTTGGCACACCTGTATTTGGGGAGTTTCTCCCATTCTTCTCTGCATATCCTCTCAAGATCTGTCAGGTTGGATGGGGAGCGTTGCTGCACAGCTATTTTCAGGTCTCTCCAGAGATGTTCGATCGGGTTCAAGTCCGGGCTCTGGCTGGGCCACTCAAGGACATTCAGAGACTTGTCCTGAAGCCACTCCTGCGTTGTCTTGGCTGTGTGCTTAGGGTCGTTGTCCTGTTGGAAGGTGAACCTTTGCCCCAGTCTGAGGTCCTGAGCACTCTCGAGCAGGTTTTCATCAAGGATCGCTCTGTACTTTACTCCATTCATCTTTGCCTCGATCCTGACTAGTCTCCCAGTCCCTGCCGCTGAAAAATACCCCCACAGCATGATGCTGCCACCACCATGCTTCACCGTAGGGATGGTGCCAGGTTTCCTCCAGATGTGACGCTTGGCATTTCAGGCCAAAGAGTTTAATCTTGGTTTCATCAGACCAGAGAATATTGTTTATCATGGTCTGAGAGTCTTTAGGTGCCTTTTGGCAAACTCCAAGCGGGCTGTCATGTGCCTTTTACTGAGGAGTGGCTTCCTTTTGGCCACTCTACCATAAAAGCCTGATTGGTGGAGTGCTGCAGAGATGTTTGTCCTTCTGGAAGGTTCTCCCATCTCCACAGAGGAATTCTAGCGCTCTGTCAGAGAGACCATCAGGTTTGGTCACCTCCCTGACCAAAGCCCTTCTCCCCCGATTGCTCAGTTTGGCCGGGCAGCCAGCTCTAGGAAGAGTCTTGGTGGTTCCAAACTTCTTCCATTTAAGAATAATGGAGGCCACTGTGTTCTTGGGGACCTTCAATGCTGCTGAAATGTTTTTGTTCCCTTCCCCAGATCTGTGCCTCAACACAATCCTGTCTCGGAGCTCTACGGACCATCCTTTGACCTCATGGCTTGGTATTTCCTCTGACATGCACTGTCAACTGTGGGACCTTATATAGACAGCTGTGTGCCTTTCCAAATCATGTCCAATCATTGAATTTACCACAGGTGGACCTCAATCAAGTTGTAGAAACATCTCAAGGATGATCAATGGAAACAGGATGCACCTGAGCTCAATTTCGAGTCTCATAGCAAAGGTTTCTGTTTTTTTGTTGTAATAAATTTGCATAAAAAAATAATGGGGTGTAGATTGCTGAGGATTTTTATTTATTTAATCCATTTTAGAATAAGGCTGTAATGTAACAAAATGTGGAAAAAGTCAAGGGGTCTGAGTACTTTCCAAAGGCACTGTAAATCAGTCTAATTCCAAAGAAGGTGACAGAATCCTAGAAATAGAATCACTAGAACAGGCTTCCCCATTAAATTCAATAGGTCTGGCTATATCTGCTCTAGTGATTCTATTTCTATGGACAGAATGCATAGGTTTAGTAAGTCCGTGGTGCCTACCTCCTGTCTGAAAGCCTTCCTGAAGCCAGTCATGGGGGTTGGGGAGAAGGCTCTTCCTGGCACACAGCTGACCACCACAGGCGTGCCCCCTCCACAGGTGCTGTTGGCCTTCGCTGCCACGGCATGGCCGAGCTTGCAGCTCGACAGGTGGGCCTCATTTCCAGTGCAGTTGACAGAGTAGTCCCAATAAGAAGGCTTTCTCCTGCGAGCAAACATCCTGAGAACATAGGAAAACACATACAGTAGTCAAATAATAACACATTTTAGACAGACATTTCATTCAATATTTACACAAGGCTGCTATCCCGTTTTCCCTAACACCTACATACTACACTACAGCATCAACCGTATGTAGTCAGCTAGTTGCTAAATAACAGCGCTAGTCCAAACAAAGGGTTCAGTATTAGGCTACAGGTGTGCCTGTTTAGTCTGTGATGTGAACAACAGCTGAGGTTATTTGAGGTCTTCCAGGCTTGCAGGGATGTTAATCCTTTACTTTTTAATAGTGAGCCAACCAACGTGTTTAATGAACGTTTAGGGCAGCACAGCCTGTCCTTGTCCTGTCTCTTTATCACATGTCTTAGAGGTGTACATGAAAGCAGATTAAAGAGGAGAGGAGGAGACACACACACAGCATTTGTTTTCCATTTGGAACCTGGATAAAAGAACGTTGCTGCTCACTGTCTGAAATCAAATCAAATTGTATTTGTCACATGCGCCGAATACAACAGGTGTAGACCTTACAGTGAAATGCTTACTTACAAGCCCTTAACCAACAATGCAGTTTTACAAAAGAATACCAAAAACAAATGCCAGCAAAATACAATATAAAAGAATACGAAATAAAGTAACAAATAAGCCAGTGTTTTAAGCCTCTGAGTCTGCGGGGGGACATACAGAAGTTGTGAGTGTAGGATGGATGAATAAAACTTGGGGAAAAAAACATCTCGATCCGTTCAAATGTGTTCAAGCAGCAGCTGTGAAGGTTCAACCAAGTAAAAACTGAACATGGACTGGCAGTAGCAGCTGTAAACTCAAAACATATTACATAAGTCACATTAGGCAATTGGAACAGTGATCTATTGTTACTTTTCATCAGCTTGAAAGTTTGTGCGTGCTACCATTTACTTTGAAAGATTTGCTTTTGAAATTATACATATCACAGCACAAACATAAACAATTGAAAAGCACGGATGATGTGCATTTGTGAGACGTCTTCTAAATCCTATGCTCTCCAAATAATTTGGAAAATGCTAAGAGGGCATACAGAGGCATTTGAACAGAGACAAAGTTTGGATTATGAAAGAACTGTAGACCTTGGCTGTCTGCCGCCGCCTGGACCAAATGCCAGACTATAAAAACACAGTCTGCACGTTTCATAAGTTTAAACCGGGAGCAGGCCGGCAGACACGTAAATGGAAAGTAGGGAGCTGCTGTACTGTGGTTACCTAAGCAGAGGAAACTTCTCTCCCTCTCTACCCCGAATTAGACAGTAAATTCAAGGTTGGCTTCAGAGCTAAAGACGAGGGCTAAGGTTTGAAGTGATTAATTAACTGCTGGCTATTACTCTGCAGGTTTCCACGTGTAAATAATAGTTAGATCCTTCCCCAGCCCAGTCAGTACCCCATTACGACTACTTTAAGGAATGCACTGATCTTGGATGTATACATACGAAGGGGGAGGGGTTACTTATGTTCTTAGAGAATGTGTGATGTGAAGCAGAATACAGGAAGGTTCTGTATAATTCAGCATTATTGCTCTGTATTAGGGCAAATATGTTCTGTATCCAATATATAAGTAAAGCAGCAAAGATCTAAAATATTTATCCACAGCGAGAGGGTAAGAAGCTCAAAGTTCTGGTGAGTTGTCAGTCTGTTGAATAACGGCCTGAACTTTCAGTAGCATAGTGGGGTTTAAAAGTAACCACATAGGTTCATCATTTCCACTATGGGAGAACTCTGTGTTGACATCCTTCTCCAGAGTTTAAGAGTCAAGGTTTCTGTGTAATGTGTACCAATAATTAATCTTGATTGAGATGAGGTATGGGTCTGTCAACGGCTTGTTGCCCTGGGCCTGGGAGAGTAACTGGGAGAGTAACTGTACATGATACATCGCCTCCCCAAGCTTAATACATATGTAGGTGAATAAAGGGCTCTGCCTGACCAAACCAAACAAGTTGACATAATAAGAATATGTACAGCAGAGGAGGCTGGTGGGAGGAGCTATAGGAGGACGGGCTCATTGTATTGTATTGGCTGGAATGGATGAAACGAAAGACAAAAATGTGGTTTCCATATGTTTGATGTGTTTAATACCATTTCATTTGTTCCATTCCAGCCATTACAATGAGCCCATCCTCCTATAGCTCCTCCCACCAGCCTCCTCTGATGTACAGTAGTGTCCTGTCCAGGGGGTGTACTTGTACACTACCAGTCAAAAGTTTGGACACACCTACTCATTCAAGGTTTTTTTTTTTTTTTTTTTTACATTGTAGAATAATAGTGAAGACATCAAAACTATGAAATAACACATATGGAATCATGTAGTAACCAAACAAGTGTTAAACAAATCAAAATATATTTTATATTTGAGATTCTTCAAATAGCCACCCTTTGCCTTGATGACAGCTTTGCACACTCTTGGCATTCTCTCAACCAGCTTCACCTGGAATGCTTTTCCAACAGTCTTGAAGGAGTTCCTACATATGCTGAGCACTTGTTGGTTGCTTTTCCTGCACTCTGCCGTCCGACTCATCCCAAACCATCTCAATTGGGTTGAGGTCGGGGGATTGTGGAGGCCAGGTCATCTGATGCAGCACTCCATCACTCTCCTTCTTGGTCAAATAGCCCTTACACAGCCTGGAGGTGTGTTGGGTCATTGTCCTGTTGAAAAACAAATGATAGTCCCACTAAGCCCAAACCAGTATCGCTGCAGAATGCTGTGGTAGCCTTACTGGTTAAGTGTGCCTTGAATTCTAAATAAATCACAGACAGTGTCAGCAGGAAAGCACCCCCACACCATAATACCTCCTCCTCCATGCTTTACGGTGGGAAATACACATGCGGAGATCATCCGTTCACCCACACCGCGTCTGATAAAGACAGCGGTTTGAACCAAAAATCTCAAATTTGGACTCCAGACCAAAGGACAAATTACCACCGGTCTAATGTCCATTGCTCGTGTTTCTTGGCCCAAGCAGGTCTCTTCTTCTTATTGGTGTCCTTTAGTAGTGGTTTCTTTGCAGCAATTCGACCATGAAGGCCTGATTCACACAGTCCCCTCTGAACAGTTGATGCTGAGATGTGTCTGTGACTTAAACTCTGTGAAGCATTTATTTGGGCTGCAATTTCTGAGGCTGGTAACTCTAATGAACTTATCCTCTGCAGCAGAGGTAACTCTGGGTCTTCCATTCCTGTGGCGGTCCTCGTGAGAGCCAGTTTCATCATAGCGCTTCATGGTTTTGCGACTGCACTTGAAGAAACTTTCAAAGTTCTTGAAATGTTCCGTATTGACTGACCTTCATGTCTTAAAGTAATGATGGACTGTCGTTTCTCTTTGCTTATTTGAGCTGTTCTTGCCATAATATGGACTGACAAAGCTGTCATCAAGGCAAAGGGTGCGTATTTGAAGAATCTCAAATATAAAATATATTTTGATTTGTTTAACACTTTTTTTTGGTTACTACATAACTATTTCATAGTTTTGATGTCTTAACTATTATTCTACAATGTAAAAAATAATAAAAATAAAGAAAAATCCTTGAATGAGTAGGTGTGTCCAAACTTTTGACTGGTACTGTACATCCAGCTGCCTCACGCTACAGAAAAAGGAGATAGACTCCTGCCCTATGTGCCATTCTGGCTTGGACATGGCTTACTTACTTATATTTACAGAAGTCCTGCTCCATAACACTCCAGTATAATGGAACCTGCTGCCGCTGCCACTCCCCATCCATAGACACAAATATAGTATTCCTTTCTACACTCTCATCCCTTTCATCAAGGAATGGGGGAAGCTCATTGTGGCCTTAAGTCCCAATGGGGACCAAGAGGATTCAGTTAAACAAAGTCCCATCCCTCACTCACTTGTAGACTCTGGCATTGTACTTCCTCTCTCCGGGGAAACCGAACATGCCACAGATGACTCTGCTGTTGTGCTTCGTCCACTCCGCGTCACAGATCTGCTTCCACTTCCCCCCGTCCTTCACCTCCACGTAGCCCTCTGTCACAGGGATGCGCTTGCGGTACGATGACAGAATGGCCCTGATACGCACATCCTCCACTTGAATGTTCAAACTCTGTGAACAAAAATGTGGTATGATTCATTTCACATGCATAGGCCGAGTGGTCTCTTCCTCTGTGGTCCTCTATGGTCCTCTCTTCCTCACTGTTCTCTTCCTTATTATCTCTGGAAAGAACCACTCCAAATGTGTCTGCATTTTGACAGTTTGCCCTTGTTACATAGTTGTATACTGAAGGTAAGGCACTGACCCTCCGGCACCAACCCCAGCAAGACACTCTGACTGCATTCCCTTGTAAAGCCTCTCCATCTTACCCAATTTTTTTTAACAATCCCATCACCTAATGAATCACAGGCCAGGCCCAGCTGTGCTGCAACTGCTTGGCTTTTGAACAAGGATATCAAAGGAATGACCATGGCAGCTCATACAACACCTTCTAGTCATGTCTTAAAGGGTGTCACTGGACAGATGCTGGTAGGTGACGAAGAACCAGTTTAGGATCAAAGGTTGGCCTATTAAACACGTTGGGAGCATTATGCAAGATTTACTTTTTGATCCTGGTTGAGAAAAATATCCACAAAGCATTTTGATTGGTTGTAAATCCAATGGCGGCTCTCCACCAACGATACTTCATTTACTGTAATATCACAAGAAAGTAGATTTGAATATTGTTGAACTTGCTGAACCATCTGTGGTAGAATTGACATGCTGACTTGCCTGAGCTGTTATCTCATCTCCTGTAAGCATTACCTGATCAGGCAATGAGTCTATCCGTCTATCTACATGTCTGTCTCTGTCAAAAAAGTAATGTGGAGACCTTTCTCTGTGAAGCCTGTTGGGATTTGAACAAACAGCCTCTCTCCTAAAGACCCAGCCCACATTCCTGCCTGTGCTATGTGACAGTGCAGGCCATGGGCGAAGAGAGGAGACAAGATGACAACTGGCGCATGGATATTTGCTTGTCTCAGCAGATGGGCTGGCTGATGGGCTGGCTGATGGGCTGGCTGATGGGCTGGCTGATGGGCTGGCTGATGGGCTGGCTGAGACACATATCAAACCCAGCCCCTGTCCTGTCCTGTCAGACCTAAAGTCAGTGGCTTTGTCTGAAATTGGACCCTATAGCCCATAGGGCTCTGAACAAAAAATGGTGCACTATATAGGGAATAGGGTGCCATTTGGGACACATACCTCCAGACTTTCAATAATTAAAAGGAAGGTTTTCCTGAAATGGCATCATACATCAGCCCACAGGATGACACCAAACCGCAGAGAAACTGTAAATGTTCCCCGCAGATTACCGCATTAACCAGCGAGTGGAGGGAAGAGATCCAGCATGTTGAGCTATCTGGGGGGTTCCAACCCTGGGGCATGATCATTTAGAGAACTGTTGTGATAGTGACCTTGTCTGTATTTAGATTATCTAGTAGAATACTGTAGTGTACTTTGATCAAATGTCTGCCCAATAAAGACCAAATTAAACTGGGTGTGCTACGGCTATGTGTTTATTACATCATAACAGGGTGTTTCAGCAACAATGTGTTCATCTTATTCTTAATGGTAGAAAAATACCATTCAGAGCAAGATCCCCAAAACGTAGACCTGGCTGCAAGCAGGGTCTTTGGAAACAACACATAGGTATTTCACTTATCACCTCCTCCAAAACCAGGGGCGCAACTTTCACTGGGGACGGGGGGGGACATTGTCCCCCCACCCCAGTTTTATCATTGCACTGCGATACAAAAAGCGGCATCGGTGTGCTTTAGGATCACGTGGATGCCTCAGAGCGGTTGGGTAGGCTGTTTGGTGGTCTCAACCACCTGGATTTAGGACCACGCGGACACCACAAAGCGTGCGAGCAGAGGCAGCTGTTGTCTGTGTGTGTTGTGCTTTTTCTCTGAGTTGTAAAAGCAAGAGAGCAGAAACTGGCTACTCTTTATTTGATTGATTTAGCTGGCAAGGTAACTGCTGTTTGACTTAACAGGAAAAAATATATATATTCAAAATGCTGAGTTTGTAGTGTAACTGACATGAAACGTTAGCTAATGCATTAGCTACATGCTTCATCCCCTCTCGACTGAAGTTCTGTCTGAAGTGAATGAACTAGCTAGCTAGCTAGTAGCTACCATAGCCATTTCAGCTCTAGCCTCTAGCTATCTGTCAGGTAGCAGTATCTAACAAATCATATTTTATTTGTCACATGCGCCGAATACAACCTTACTGTGAAATGCTTACAGCTGTTGTGTGTATGGAAATGTTTTGTAGCCTTTGTTTTGTCCCGTTTCAACAGAAGTAAATTAACTTGGATAGTTTTCACCAGTTGATGTACCATTAGAGCTAGCCAAAGGTTGGCTAATGTTAGCGAGCTAGCCAGCTAGCTCACTAACTTTAGCTATTTTCTTTGCATCAATTACACTAGTCTAGACCTGAATCAAACGATGAAACCATCGGCCAAACGATTGAAGACCGATATTCTGACGTTTTTGGACAGCGCAATGTGAGTTTTTTTTTTGTCAGTATAGCAATGTAACGTTATTGATCTGTCAGTTTCCCTAGCTAATTCCCTACTTTTCACACCGGTATAAACAGCTCTACAGGCTTCACTGTCATGGTGCACAGTTGCTACACAACACTATGCTAATCATGCCTTAGCAGCATCAGATGGTGACAGGTGTCCCAGCAGGGTCAGACAGCCAGGGAAGACCAGTCTACGGAGCCCAGGTGAATTTTGCAGTATGTTATAACATCCAGTGAATGGATACAAAGTTCCATCTTGAGTTGATGGGTGGGCTACAGTCTGAGGTCTGGGATCTGGGAATAATGGTTATTTCAATTATTGAACCATTGATTCTATTCTTGGATAATATAATGTATAAATGTACACCAAGGTAATTATTTGTCATGCCTCATCTGAGCAGGATAAGATGGTGACTGGGGTCTCAGCAGGGTCAGGCGACCAGGGAAGACCAGTCTATGATGGAGCTGGGGTGAACTTTTGCAGATGCAACACTTTTTTATTTTTGTGCAGCAAACATTGGACAAGCCAGAAGCTTCAAAGATTGAAACTATTTTAAGGCTGTCTGACAAACCTCTAAAGTTGATTTCCAAACTGTATCAAGGGTTGATAGAGGCTTTTCCTGATGAGACAAAACATGTAAAGCAAAAATGTGAAGAAGACCTGGGAGACACTATTGATGATAATGAATGGATACATATATGTTTGAATGCCCAGTAATGTTCACCCCCCCCCCCCCCTAATAAAATAAAATAAAAAGGTGGTTGTCCCACTGGCTATCATAAGTTGAATGCACCAATTTGTAAGTCGCTCCGGATAAGAGCGTCTGCTAAATGATGTAAATGTAAAATGTAAATATAATCTCAGACATAAATTACTGCAGTTTAAGACCATCCATAGAACGTATTATATGCCAGTGAAACTGAATATCATGCACTCTGAAATGTAATTCCTCTGCTGGAGGTGTAAAACACAAAAGGGGATACATTTGCTTATGTTATGCTCTTGTGAAGGCTGGTGGAATTCTGGCAAAGAGTATGTTCTTTTATCTCAGCATGTCTACAGAATCTCCCTTCTCCCTGTTTTTGTTTGCTTGGAAATGTTGATACTGGAGACTGTTATCTGAAGGAACCTAGCATTTATAGCGGCTAAGAAATGCATTGCCATTAATTGGAAGGTTGGCTATCCTCCCACAGTGTCACAATGGATGTCAGAAATGTCAAGTTATGTATCACTATATTTGATGTATTACAAGATTAAAGGTATACTGTGCAACTTTCATAAGGTCTGGGGCGGCAGGTAGCTTAGTGGGTAAGCGCGTTGTGCCAGTAACCGAAAGGTCGCTGGTTCTAATCCCCGAGCCGACTCGGTGAAAAATCTGTCGACGTGCACTCAAGCAAGGCACTTAACCCTAATTGCTCCTGTAAGTCGCTCTTGATAAGAGCGTCTGCTAAAAGGTAAATGTAATGCTTTATATGGAACACTGTACGACAAAAGGAGTCTGTATTGAAAACATGCCCACGTCAGGGGAGATACCTATTTAGGCAATCCCTAGCTGCTGGGCTGCTCAGTCCTGGCCCTGGGGGTCTGCCGTACTGTTGGTTGTCACTCTGGCCTTGGCCTAACACACCTGAAACCAATAATGAATGTTTCACTAAGATCCTAAAGCTGAGTGGGGTGTGTTGGGTTAGGGCGCTGGACCCCTAGGCGCAGGACGGGGCGATCCAGCTATATTGTGTGCAAGTAAAAAGAGCTCTAGAGTACTATTAGGATACTGATATGAATTACAGTGCCCTCTGTAATTATTGGGTCAGTGAAGCATTTCTTCTTCTTTTTGGCTCTATACTTCAAAGAATGGCTATGAAGTTAAAGTGCAGACTGTCAGCTTTAATTTCAGGGTATGTTCATCCATATTTGGTGAACAGTTTTGAAATTAGAGCACCTTTTGCAGCAATTCTACCATGAAGGCCTGATTCACACAGTCTCCTCTGAACAGTTGATGTTGAGATGTGTCTGTTACTTGAACTCTGTGAAGCATATATTTGGGCTGCAATCTGAGGTACAGTTAACTCTAATGAAAGTATTCTCTGCAGCAGAGATAACTCTGGGTCTTCCTTTCCTGTGGCGAGCCAGTTTCATCATAGCACTTGATGGTTTTTGCGACTGCACTTGAAGAAACTTTCAAAGTTCTTGAAATGTTCCGTATTGACTGACCTTCATGTCTTAAAGTAATGATGGACTGTCATTTCCCTTTGCTTATTTGAGCTGTTCTTGCCATAACATGGACTAGGTTTTTTACCAAATAGGGCTATCTTCTGTATACCCCGCCTACCTTGCCACAACCCAACTGATTGGCTCAAACGCATTAAGAAGGAAAGAAATTCCACGAATTAACTTTTAACAAGGCACACCTGTTAATTGAAATGCATGCCAGGTGACTACCTCATGAAGCTGGTTGAGAGAATGCCAGGAGTGTGCAAAGCTGTCATCAAGGCAAAGGGTGGCTACTTTGAAGAATCTCAAATATAAAATATATTTGAGGTAA